ATTATACTTACAAAGCAAGTATTTGCCCACCAAGCCATCTCCCCAACCCCAACAATCTTTTTTTTTTTTTAGATTTTAATTGAATGTTTGTGAATTTCATACTATGTATTTGGTCATATTATAGACCCCCTCCTCTATCTGTACCCCTCTTATAGCCAACCCCAATAGATTTCATGCACTCTGTCATATATATTAAGCCTTATCCAGTCAAGTTTCTGCCCCGAATTTCCTTTAGTGTGTGTCATCCACTGGAGCTTGGTTAATCTATCTAGCGTCACACACTTAAAGAAAACCAACTCTCCTGTCAGTGGTAATTTGGTTGCCAACCGTTCCTCAGCTACGGCTGGGGCTTTGTACCCATGCTTCCACTTCTGTGCTGGGATTTTGGTCAACTTGAGCTTGTATGGGTCTTGTGCATGCTGTCACCATTGCTGTAAGTTCATGTGAGCAACTTCCCATCTGTGGTCATCAGCTACCTCTGGCTCTCACAATCTTTCCACCCCCTCTTCAGCAATGGTCCCTGAGCCCTGGGTGGCAGATTTGATATAGGTGTCCTATTCAGGAATAAACACTCTGCAATTTCTTATTCTCCACACTTTGGCCAGTTGTGGCTTTCTTAATCACCAGCTGCTGCATAAGGAAGCTTCACTGGTGAGTTTAGAGGTACGTTAATATTCTTTCCACCCCTGTTCCACTATGGTCCTTGAGCCTTAGGTTGCATTGTAGATGTGACATTTAGGGATAGGAACCTCACAGACACTTAATTCTCTGCATTTGACCAGTTGTAGAACTTTATAATAGTTGCAAAAAGTAGCTTCTTTGATGAGTGGTGAGAGGTACACTTGTCAGGCTAATTAGGAGCTCTCCAGCAGCAGCGAGTCCCAAAGCAAGAAGTTTTGTTTTCTTGTTTTTTTTGAGACAGGGTCTCCCTGTAGCCCCAGCTGTCCTGGAACACGCTATGTAGACCAGGCTGGCCTTGAACTCATAGAGATTCACCTGCCTCTGCCTCCCAAGTGCTGGTACTAAAGGTGTGCACCACCACGCCTGGCTGCAAGAAGCTTTTTTAAAAGATTTCTTTTTAAATCTGTATGTGTGTGGGGACATCTACGTGTGGATGCTACATGTGTGCAGGTACGTCCTGAGACCGGAAGAGGGTGTCTGATCCTCTGGAGCTAGAGTTATAGGCAGCTGTAAGTGGGTGCTGGGAGCTGAACTCTGGTCCTCTGGAAGAGCAGCAAGCACTTTTAACAGCTGAGTCAACTCACCAGTCACCTTCCAACAATGTCTTTTAATTATCAAATTCAATACCTTCTATTCTGTATTCATATCAGTTCCCTCAAAAATACTGTGTCCATGCTCCGTTTGCAATACAGGAGTTTCCCTAGAGAGATTCAGGTATTCTCTCATAATCTTTTGTATTCCCTACTTTACACTATCAAAAGAGATCTCCCCAACACACCATCACCTAGTTTAGTAAATCAGTTATGCTTATACTTAATGAACCTCAAGTGAATCTCTTTATCTTTACCTCCTTCCTGATCCCCAAGCCTATCTTGCTCCCACACACAGCTCCTGATCCACACACAAAAACTAAAAAATCAACACTAAAAAACAAAACAAAACGAACCACAAAGCAAAACCCCCCCAAAAAAAACAAAACAAAATCATAAGCTTTTCTCTACTTAATCCCGTACATCCCAGAGCTTGGCACACAGGAACCATCCTAACTTGGCTTCCAAGAGAAATGAAGTCAGTACCTTTGCCTTGCCTCTGCACACCTTGCTAAGTCTCTGTATCTTTTAAGCTTCTCTCTTAGTCAATCATTAGTTGTTTAGGTATAAAACAAAGCCAGTATTTCCTATAGAATACGGCCCCTTCTCCTTATTTCCATGCATATGAACTACTAGAGCCTCAGATCCACCTTGTTTCTCCCACATGACTCACTTCCAAGAACTGTTATCCTCCTAATTCTATATGTACAAATGCTTTCTAACCTACACAACTTATTTATGCATCAAAAATATCAAAACACTCACTACAAAATCTATATGGTAGTTATATGGGTGTTCACTTAAAATTCTTTCAATTTTTCTATATGTTTAAAATTTTTACAATAAAATCTTTGAGAACAGGTCTCTACAATTAGACAAGCTGAAGTCCACGACCTTTTCACCTGTCTTCTGGGCTACTACTAGCTCTCTTCTGGATTCAGCTAATCTCCAGTATGACTCCCCAGATCCATGCCTCCTGCTATTTGCATCCTTGTGAAGCTGCCTCCCTCACTGAGCCAGACTGGTCTCTAAGACAAATAATATACGGCAGAAGTTAAGGTGCATCACTTCCAAAATTAGATTATAAGAGACTGTGGTTTTTACTAAAACAAAAAGGGGGGAGGGCAGGACTGTGGCTTCTGTCTTGGCACACTATCTTAAATGCCTTATTCTGAAGAAACATGCAAATCACTCAGAAATCCTGTTAAAATGTACCCCAATTCAGTACATTTGGAGTAAAACCTGCTGTCCAACTTTCCTAACAAGCTTCCACATGGTGCAGATGCTGCTAGTTCAAAGATCAAACTACAATGCTACAAGTACTGGATGTTACAGAACTACTGGGTAGACACAAGAGGCCACAGAGTAAGGCAAGTTTTACGCTTCAAAGCGGTACTCTTAAAAGACTGATGGGGAGGGGTGGGGAAATGCCTCAGAGATTAAGAACACTGGTTGCTCTTGCAGAAGACCTGAGTTCGAATCCCAGCACCCACATGGCAGCTAACAACAGTCTATAATTCCAGTTCCAGGGGATCTGAAGGCCTCTTCTGTCGTCCAAGGGCATTGCACGACACGGGTGCACTTGCCCACATGCAGGCAATACATGCATACACATAACATAAAAATTAAAAAAAAAAGATTGATGAAAGTGGCAGATTTTCAATGTTCCCCCTTCCATAAATGGTAATTAAAAAACCCAGCAGGGTGGTACACACCTGTAATTCCAGCACTTGGGAGGTTGAGGCAGGAGGATCAGAAGTTTAAGATCAACTCTGGCTTTGTAGTAAGTTCGAGGGCAGCCTAGGATACAAAAGACCCTCAACAATAACAACAAAACATTAATAAAGTCAAATCTCTGTGGCAGTTCAGAGTAAAATCATCTCACTGTATCTAATTCTACAGTGTAGGGCTTCTCAAACATTTATGTAGGTATGAATCACTGAGGAGGATCTTAGGAAGTTGAACAGGAAAATCTGGAAGAGGACAGGCTGTATATCTAACAGCCTTACAGTGACACTGAGGATTTTCATCTATAAATCATGCTTTCTGGGAAGATTTTCAAAGTTTCCTGTAGGAGGCTGAGTATGGTGGATCACACCCTTAAGCACTCTAGAGGCAGAGGCAGGAGGATTTCTGAGTTCAAGGCCCACCTGGTCTACATGGCAAGATCCAGGCCAGCTGGGGCTACATGGAGACCCTTGTCTCAAAAAAACAAACAAATGAATAAATAAGTAAATAAATACATAGATAATTGAAATGTACAATTCAGTGGTTTTTAGAATACTCAAAATTGTGCAGCCATTGTCACCAACTTTAGAACACTGTAGCCCCTCAAGCTCCATCAGTTTCTCAATATTTCATACTAGTCCCCCAACTCCTGGCAACCACCAATCTTTGTCTCTATGAACTGCCTACTCCGGGCATTCCATATAAACAGAATCACACAATATGCAATCTTTGCAACTAGTTTTACTCATGATGCAAGATCTATTCAGGGTTCATTCATGTTGAAACATATATCAGGACTTCATACACTTCTATAGCTAACTGTATTTCATTGGCTGTTAATAGTCTAAAACATAAGTCATATTTTGTTCATCCACTCATCAGTTGATGGCCATATGAGTTACTTCCATTTATTTATATCTTATTTTTTTACTTTATGTGTATGAGTGTATCGTCTGCATGTGTTTGAGCATACCCATGTCTGACATGCAATGTTCTCATGAGTCAGAAGAGGGTGTTGGATTCCCTTGGAACTCAGTTATGTGGGTGCTGGGAACCAATCTGGGTCCTCTGCAAGCAGCCAGTGCTCTTAACTGCTGTCTCCAGCCCTTATTTCCATTTTTTTTTGAGCATTATGATTCATGAATGAGAAGTTTTTATGAGGACATGTGTTCAGTTTCTTGACTATATGCCTACAGGTGGATTTCCTGGATCCACCACGAATTCTGTGCTAAAGATTTTAAGGACCTGGCCAGCTATTTTCCAAAGCACTGTACTATTTTCCAATCCCATCATCAATATATGAGAATTTTATTATTACATTTTCAACAGATGAGGACGTTACACTTCCTGACAGCCACCATTCTATGAGCCTCCCTTACCAAGGACACTACAAAGACAAGACAGAATTACATTTCTGGCATGTATTCAAAGAGTAAAATCTCACAGGTCCAAATAAATTAAGCAAGTAAGTTAACTTCTCAGAGCTGATTTCATTCAAAAATACGGATGCATTTTTAACATCTATCTTGCAATCTTGTGACGATTAAATAAAACATAAAGGCACTTTTCAACAATGATTATTCGTGATTCAATCCTGGGCAAAGAGTTAGTGGCAAGGGACTAAATGCCCAGATTCCTCCCCCTCATTCAGATTCCTTCTCCGCGGCAGGGGCTGCTGAAGGATGACCGGGGCTACAGCCTCCCCTAGCCACGCAAGATGGATGGTTACAGTCTAGTCTGCCTTCGCTCTCAGAAGAGATCCCACAGTCTTGGAAGCTTACAAGTCAGCGCAGAAGACTCTGTCCTTTCCTAATGGTGACAGGCACAGTCATGACGGCTGAAGCAAAAATGAAGGGACACATGCAGCACAAGCAAACACACAAGCACACGACTCCAGTCTCTGCAACCTCCCCCCACGAACCGGAACAAGGCTGGAGTAGGAGCCCCCGAAGTCCTCCCCGCCAGAGATGCCCCGTTGGATTCCGACGCCGCAAAGCTCACCTGGGGGCCCCCGCCGGCGCGGCCCGGTTCTGCCCAGGCGCCTCCAGGGTAGTAGCCGTCGCCACCCGCGCCTTCCGTGGGCCAGGTGGTCTCGGCCGGGGCGCCCCCGCGTCCGCGCCAGGAAACGGGGGGCTGCGGCGGCTCGGGGCGCAGCGGAGGGTACAGCGGCGGAGGTGGGTGCACCGGGACGTCGCCTCCCCCCGGCCCGTAGTAGCGGCCGTAGGAGGGGCCGTCACCAGGGCCGTAGCCCGAGCGCCTCAGGGCCGACATCGGCTCCGCGGCCGCGAAGCGCTTCCCGCCCCCCACGGCCCGCCCATCGCGCAGGCGCCGGCGGACGACCGGCACTGGCAAGGCCCGAAGCGGGTCGGACGCCAGCAGCCAATCCCGGCCGGCCCCGCCCCACCCTCCGAGCGCCAAGGCTGGCGTATCGTGCTCCTCCCCCGGCCCCTCGGCAGGACGGCAAAGCGAGCCGGCGCCAGCCCGCTGCCCGTCGCCGGAGGAGGAAGCGCACGCCTGCCCCGCCTCTTCCGGAGGACGGCCCGTGTCGCCGGAAGTGGGTGTGCTCAGCCGAGGCGCTTCCGGCAGGCACGGGCTACGGGAAGCCTGCCGGGTAGGTGAGGGCGAGTTCGCTTCCCGTCCGCGCTGGCCGCCGCCAGTGTCGGCAGCCCGCGCAGCGCAAGATGAACTACATGCCCGGCACCGCCAGCCTCATCGAGGATATCGACAGTGAGTAGCCCTGCCCGGGAGCCGCTGGCCGTCCTCCCGGGCGCCAGCTCCGAGGTCGCCGGGGCTGCCCAGCGTGCGCTCCGCACACCCCGGACCCCGCCTCTCCTCGCAGCCTCGGCCAGGCCCCGAGCCCTGGGATGCGGACTTGCCCCGAGGGTGCACCGTCGGGGTGCGAATGCCAAGTGGGCTGTGCCGTGTGCACGGTCCCCCTGCAGTGTGTGGAAGCCCCCTGCAGTGTGTCGGGTAGCGAGCATGGAAGGCTTACAGGAGGGATTCCGGAGGGAACGAGCGCGTTAAGACCACAGCAGTTGAATTTAATTAGCGGTAAACGGAGGCTTTCTGCTGTGTGGCCTTTTGCAGCTTCTTTACGAGGGTCGTTAGCGCTTTCTCATTGCGGTTTGGAGACTGGTGCTAGATGATGTTGACTCCTAGGAAGGCTAAATCACGTCACACTTCAGATTTACCCTTTCAGTTCAACAGCTAAGAAGCCTGCGGTATTTTTTAGTTACTAATCCTGGAAAGAAAATCAGTGCTGTACAAAAATAAGATTATAAATTATTACTTGTATGCTGCTTCTCAAACATTTTTAAAAAATAGTTTTAATCCTGTGACCTTTAAATAAAAAGCGGTTTATACAGATTAACACAAGTTGCAACAATCTGTGCATGTACCCTTGAGTTTGCAAAGAAGAGACCGTCTATAATTGCATTCTCATTTTATAGTTACTAGAGATTATTTTTTAAAACCCAAACTACTTTGCTATCGAAGGGAGAAATGTAGACTGGACCAAATATATTGGACTTTAGGCTCATAAATGTGTGCGTGCGTGCGTGTGTGTGTGTGTGCGCATGTGTGTTGTAGCCAGGCTTTTTGTCCTTCTTATTTCTGTGAATTACTTGAAGCCTCTAACATCCTACTGTTTTACTAAAAGCATTTGCTCTCAAGCCCTCTAATTCGTACTTTATAGATCCCAGGCTCCCTCCATCTCTGAAAAACTTCAGACCATTTGCTGTGCACCCTTCCCACCCCCATCACAACATACACCAATATTCTCTTCCAGTCTTCTCTGTTTTTACCCATCATCTCTTTAGAGTAGAATATATTCCTCCCATTTACACATTGCTCTTTCCTCCTACTGCTTCCGGAATCTTTAGTTTTCTTCTGTTTTTTCTGTCTCTGTATCCGTGCACCTTCCTTTCATGGATGTTTTTGTCTGTCCAGCTCAGATATTTGCTCAGTTGTGTGTGGCCATTACACTCATATCCCTTTATGAATATCTTGACTCATCTCAATTTTGACTCTTCTCCTGACCACTTTCGCAGTGAATGAAGTGTCTTCCTGTCAGAAGCTGAAATTTTTGTTGTTCATTTGTTGTTTGATTTGGTTTCGTTTTTGAGACAGGGTCTCACTCTAGCCCGGACTGGCTTCAGGGTCACCCCATTCCTACTGCTTCAGTCTAAGTTCCGGGATCCCAGGCATGGGCCATCGTGCATCGCTTGAAGCTGTGTTCTTTTGGGTTCTTAAGATTTCTTTCTATGTCCACGAGTGGTTTTTAAAAAAAGATTTATTTGTGTATGTGTGTGTGCCTATATGAGTTTTTGTGCACTGTATGTGTGCAGGAGATTGTAGAGGCCAGAAGAGGGTGTTGGATTCCTTTGAACTTACACAGTTGTAAGCTGCCATGTGGGTGCTGGGAACTGAACCCAAGAGCAGCAATTGCTCTTCAGCCCTTTGAAGCTGTATTCTTGGGGATGGAGAGATGTCTTAGCAGTTAAGAGCACCAGCTGTTTTGCAGAAGACCCAGGTTCAAATCTTAGCACTCATATGGTGGCTAACAACTGTCCATAACTCCAGTTCCAGGGGATCCAACACCCTCTTCTGTCCTCTGCGGGCATTGCACGACACAGGTGCACTTACACACATGCAAACATAACACTCATAACACATAAAATGAAAGTAAAGAAGCTCTGTGCTTAGATCATCATCTAAGGCACTCCCTTGTTCTCCCCTGTGCAGCACTGTGCACTGCACTGCTGAGCTCATTTGGTTCTTAGTTCCATTTCTTAGTTCCGGGTTTCTCTAGCACTTTCTTGCTTGTTGCTGAGTTTCTTACCTTTCTAACCCATACTGTTCTCTACAACAGGTGGTTTGCGCTCCATGTTTGGCCTGCTCTCTGAATTTCTAGACCTGTTAGATGGAATTTAGCATCATAACTTCCTATTTTTTTCTGTTCATCAATGTTCATTTTCCTTTTATGTGCATGAGTGTACAGGATTCTACATGTATGTAAGTGCACTTGTGTCATACAATGCCCACAGAGGCCAGAAGAGGGCATTGAATTCCCTGGAATTTTAGTTATGGTTCTTAGCCTTCACGTGGGTGCTGGGAACTGATCCCAGGTCCTCTGCAATAGCAGCCAGTGCTCTAAACCACTGAGCCATTTCTCCAGCCCCAAATGTTTTCTTATTCCTTGTGGGTCAAAACTTGCCTCCCAATACTTTTCCAGATTTTAATGCCTGTTCTTCTCCTCAACTTTCAGCTAACCATGGACATATAATACCTTTCCCCCTTCTGCCTAATTTACAGTTTTCCCTAGTCATTTCATTTTCCTCTTTTCCTTTCTCCTAGCCAAAATTATTTATCTTCAAGATCCAACTATTTTCTCTCTCAAATCTTTTATTTTTGAAATCCTTAACTTTAAAAATTTTTTATTTATTATTTTTATCTTATGTGTGTGAGTGTATTGTCTGCATGTAGGTAAGTGCACCTGTGTTGTGCAGTGCCCGCAGTGGACAGAAGAGGCTGTCGGATCCCCTGAAACTGGAGTTACAGACAGTTGTTAGCTGCCATGTGGGTGCCGGGATTCGAACCTGGATCTTCTATAAGAACAGTCAGTGCTCTTAACTGCTGAGCCATTTCTCCAGCCCCTTAAATTTAATTTTTGTGTATTTCATATACAACATGATAATCATCTTTATACCCCCTTCCCTATTGGTACCCTCTCACCCCCCACCACCACCACTGAGTTTCATGCATGCTCTCCTTTATGTTAAGGCCTAGTGAGTCAAGTTAGTGCCCTCCGATGTCCCTCAGTGCAAGTTCATCCATTGGGTTCTAGTCAGCCTGTCTAGAGTCACTCCCATAAAGAAGACCAGCTCTTCCTCACCCAGTAGTAATCAGCTGACCAATAGTTCTTCGCTTAGATTGGGGCCTGCTGCCCATTTCCACAGTTCAATGCTGGGTTTTTGTTGCTTGAGCTTGCATGGGTCTTGTGCATGCTGTCGTCATCTCAAGTCTCACATAATTAAGATTTATTTAATTATAACCTAAAGATGACTGTAAATTCCTTTAGGGGAGAATCACTGCCCCTCTCTTCATATAGAAAGCACTTTATGCATAGCATTAAAGAAATGAATGCTGGGGCTGGAGGGATGGCTCAGTGGTTAATTGAACTGACTGCTCTTGCAGAGGACATGGTGGCCAACCACCATCCATAACTCCAGTTCCAGGGAATTTGACGCCTTCTTCTGACCTCTATGGGCATTGCATGCGTGTGGTGCACTTACATAGATGCAGGCAAAAACACTCATATACAAAATAAAAATCAAAAAAATTTTTTTAATATTTATTTTTATTTTATGTGTATGCATGTATTGCCTGCATATAGGTAAGTGCACCCATGTCGTGCAATGCCCATGGAGGACAGAAGAGGCTGTCGGATCCCCTGGGACTGGAGTTATGGACAGTTGTTAGCTGCCATGTGGGTTCAGGGATTCAAACCCGGGTCTTCTGCAAGAACAGCCAGTGTTCTTAACTAAGTCATCTCTCCAGCCCCCCAAATCAAAAATTTTTAAAGAAATGAATGCTGACATCTTGATTCCTTTTCTTTTTCCTTTTCTTTTTCTTTTTTCATTTTTTTTTTTTTTGGTCTTTTTGAGACAGGGTCTCCCTGTAGCCCCAGCTGTCCTGGAACTCACTATGTAGACCAGGCTGGCCTTGAACTCACAGAGATCCACCTGCCTCTGCCTCCCAAGTGCTGGGATTACAGGTGTATGCCACCATACCCAGCTTGATTCCTTTTCTAATAGCTGGCTTGTTCTCATCTTTTAGGGTCATCTTGACATTATCTTTTTTACATAGCCATTTCAGTGTGTCCATCATATCATCCTGAAGTCTTGTTTATTAATTCTCTTGTACTATTGCCTTTACCCTGCATTGACAATAAATTCATAAGACAGGTGACTTTCAGAACAGCGTAGAGCTCTCAACAAATGTTCAATTTGAGGTAGAGAGATGGTCAGTGGTTGAGAGTGCATACTGTTCTTCCAGGGACCAGAGTTTGATTCCTGGCACCCACATTGGGCAGCTCATGACTGCCTGTAACTACAGCTCCAGAGAATCTGATGTCCTTTTCTGGTTTCCATGGGTGTGCGCACGCATGCGCGCGCGCACACACACACACACACACACACACACACACACACTACTCAAAGTTGGGGCTGGAGAGAGGACCCAGCTCAACAGTTAAGAAGATTTGCTGCTTTTGCAGAGGGCCCAGGTTCAGTTCTCAGTTCCCACTTGACAGCTAACAACTATCTCTAACTCTGGTTCCAGGGGATCTGCTGCCTTCTGGCATCATGGTCACTGCACACATGTAGGTCTGGCCTCCATGGTACGCTTACATACGTGCAGGTAAAACACACATCAAATGAAAATAAATATAAAAATTTTGAATTCTGCTGGGCCTGGTGGCGCACGCCTTTAATCCCAGCACTCGGGAGGCAGAGGCAGGCGGATCTCTGTGAGTTCAAGGACAGCCTGGTCTACATAGTTCCAGAATAGCTGGGACTACAGGGAGACCCTGTTTCAAAAAGAGCCCCCCCACCCAAAAAAAATGTCAAATTCCTGTTTTAGCTTACTGTCAAGTCCTCGTACATGTCTGAGACATGGCTTCATTTATTTTTGTTTTGGGCTGGGATTGAACCTGTGTTTCAGGTGGCTTGCCAGTCAGCTCTATACTTAACCACTAAAGTATTGTTTTTATTTAAATTTTCCTTAATTGCAAACAAAAGTGAGATAGAAAAAAGTTGAAATAATTCCAGGATTGAGATGCTATATAGTAAATAGCCAACTAGGTTACATGAGACCCTCTCAAAGAAATCATAAAAATCATTTAGACTAAGTTTCTCAGTTTAAGATAGAGAAATTCCAGGACAGTTTACAGACAGAGACACGAAATGACACTGGGACGGTTTAGAACCAGTCAGGCTTCCTGCCTACACATTCTGCCCTTTGCTATCTCTGCAACACCACTCTGATTCTTTTCACCACCGATCTGATCCAAATCCTGACCTTCCCTCCATGTTTTCCAGTGAACTCCACCACAGATACATCAGAAGCGGGTACGGTACAGCTTGAACAGCTATTAACTGAATTTTTATTATTATAAACTCACTGAAGCTGACAGCTTTCATTTTAAAGATATCTCCTCCCTTCTCCAGAAAAACACTTGGTCCTGCTTCGAGATGGACGGACACTTATAGGCTTTTTAAGAAGCATTGATCAGTTTGGTATGTATTGGTAATGGTCTTCTTTAATCCTTGGATAATAAGAGCTACCCATTGCATTTGGGGGCATTATTTCCTATTGAAGTTTATTTGTCTCCTAACTTTTTCCATGTGTCTAGCATAATGAAACTGTTTGAAGTAAATTGTTGTTTTCCAGTTATGATTAATACTAGCTTGTAAATATAAAACTGATTTTTGATAGTGTTTTGAACTGTGTTTTTATTTTCCCCATTAGAGGGAGCCAAATGATAGCAATACATTTAGTCTTCAAAGCACTTCTGTACCGGGTTATTCCCCCTGTCCAATGAAAATAGGATAGAAGCCATTTCTTGAAGCTTTTTGAGAAACATTAAGTGCAATAATTTACTTATAGGGATAGATCAGACTTAGGAGTCTGCATTTTTAAAGTAAGAGATCTACGTTTCCTTTTGGTGTAAGAAATTTCTCAGGGCTGGAAAGATGGCTCAGTGGTTAAGAGTACTGACTGCTCTTGCAGAGGACCTGGGTTCAGGTCCCAGCACCTACATAGTGGTGGCTAACTGTCCCTTCCTCCACTTCCAGGGGATCTGATGCCCTCTTCTGACCTCCTTGGGCACTGCACAACATGGGTACACTTACAAACGTGCAAGCAATACACTCATACACGTAAAATAAAAATTATAAAATAAAGGCTGGCTCTATTCCCAGAACTCAGGAAGCAGAGGCAGGCAGATCTCTGTGAGTTTAGGGCTAGCCTGGTCTTGAGTTCCAGGCCAGCTGGGGCTACAGGGAGACCCTGTCTGAAAAAGAGAAAAATAAAATAAATTTTAAAAAGAAATTTATCAGTTCATACTGACATTTGTTGGTCGTCTGCTAGATCTCTGGATTTGTATGTAAGGAAAAATGTAACTGAAACACAAGAATTATAGAAGATCTAACCAACTGGCCATGCACATGTCCCGGATCCTTGGTAGGCTGAGACAAGAGGATCACTTTGGAAACAGATTATGAACCCCCCTCAGACAAAAGCAAAAAAAAGAGTGAAATATAAACATGGATTTCTACTTCAAATAAGAAAAATAGTACAAACTAAAAGAAGAAGAGCAATTATTCTTAGTGTGCTAGAATTCAAAATCTTAAGTCAGATTCATCAAAGTACTTTGAAGGCCGAATATTTAGTTTACTCTTGGATTACCAGGTATGGTTATCTGACAAGGTCAAAAAATAGATTTTTCCTATATTATAATTCATGGAAATTGTATTGGGTTTAATGAATTATTAGTACTGAAACAACATTAAATCTCAGTCATCACATACATATTCTCACAACAAAGAAAAACTCCAAAACCCAAAGTTTTGATCTTCGTGGTAGTGTAGGCTCATGTTTTCCAAATTCCTATTTGTATTTTTCTAGAAACCATGTTGATGTTGGCAGGCAGCTGACAAATGTACTTTTCATAATTTATTCCTATTATCCTTCCTCTGTCCTTAGCACAGCATAATCACAAGTACTCTGTAATTGTTTGAAAGTCTGTTAAGACTGAACATAAGGTGGCACATGCCTGTAATCTCAACACACTCAAAAGGCTGAAGCAGGAGAATCACAAGTTCTAAGCCGACCAGGACTACATAGTGATTTTGAGGCCAGCAAAGGCTAGAGCGAGATCCTGTCCCCCCAAAACAAAGTCTAGATGGTATGTGTTAATCAGTGAAATAAAAGATTTCTTTAATATTTTGTTTTTCCTACAATTAGAAAGTTTGGAAAACATGTTTAGCTAAATCTTTTCTACTCAAAATAAATGAGTTGTGGACCTTTACCCCAAAATATCAACTAACTGTCTTTGTTTCTTTCCTGTGTGCTTACAGCTAACTTAGTGCTGCATCAGACTGTGGAGCGTATTCATGTGGGCACAAAGTACGGGGACATTCCTCGAGGGATCTTTGTGGTTAGAGGAGAAAACGTGGTCTTGCTAGGAGAAATAGTAAGTGAGAACTGGTAAGCTGCTGCGGGTCTCTATCTTTGTGCTAGTTTCTTACTGTCTTTTCAGAGGTGAAAAACATTTTCCATATTTTGGCATGCTTCTCACAAGCACCCACCAAATTAGGAATTAGGAAAGCTATAATTGCCAGAGTGAGGCTACAGAAAATAATTGACTTTGTACTACTGCCTTTTTTTTTTTTTCTCTTCCAGTCTTTTTGAGACAGGGTCTCTGCCCCAGCTGGTCTGGAACTTACTGTGTAGACCAGGCTGGCCTTGAACTCACAGAGCTCCGCCTGCCTCTGCCTTCCAAATACTGGGATTAAAGCCTTGCAACCACTCCCGCCTACCTTTGTCTTTTTAAAGATTTGATGGCTTTATCTGATACAAAACAGTATTGCTGGGTATGGTGGTCCATGCCTACAATCCCAGCAGTTGGGAAACTGTGGTAGGTGAACTGCCCTGAGTTTGAGGCCAGCCTGTGCTACATATTGAGTTCCAGGCCAGCTGAGGCTACAGTGTAAGATCCTGTCTCAAAAAACAAAAACAAACACATTCATCATTAATGTAGTGTTTGTGTTATCTCTAATAGCAGAAAGTTACAGAATTTTAATTATGTGTCTTGATTTATAAAAGTATGATCTAGAGCTAGGGGTGTTTTCCATGTTTGAATATTTTAGTCGTTTAAATAATTGGTTACAAGTAGTTTTTCATGCCATAAAATTAATTGCTAGTATTTGAGGGAAGCATTGTCCCCATTTTTAAAGGAAAAGCAATAGTCATCGTAGAAGCCATTCTGATATTTCAAAATGGAGCTGTTTTACTGGGATCCTTGGCTCATAACTAGGAAGGAGGGACATGTATATCTGTGCCAGAATGACCAGTTAGCAGGTGAATGGCTAAATCACATATTCTGAAGTATTGCTGGCTGCTATTATTATTGCATAAGTGTACACACATTAGAAGGTGACTTTATACATTCATATATATATTAGAAGTACTCTTGAGTTTTCTTTGAAGCACCTTATTTAAACCTTACTCGACTCCTGTTCTGTTTGCCAGGCAAAATCAAAATCTCTGTGAGACTAGTTGAAATTAAGAATGCAGTAGGGCCGGGCGTGGTGGTGCACACCTTTAATCCCAGCTCTTCGGAAGCAGAGGCAGGCAGATCTCTGTGAGTTCCAGGACAGCCTGGCCTACATAGTGAGTTCCAGGCCAGCTGGGGCTACAAGGAGACCCTGTCTCAAAAAAGACAAAAAAAAAAGAAAAAAAGAAGGCAGAGGGGATGTCCGTGCTGTACAAGTAGAGGACTTGAGTGGCATGTGTGCAGCCCTGAATCTGATCCTCAGCACCAAGGAGAAGGGAAGGAGGGAAAGAAAAGGGTAAAACTAAGGGCTGGAAACAAGCACTGTTTTTCTATTCTTAAAAAAAAATCTTGGTGCTGGGCATGCTTTAATCCCAGCACTTGGGAGGCAGAGGCAGGCTGTTGTCTGTGAGTTCATGGTCTACATAGTGAGTTCCAGGCCAGCTGGGGCTACAGGGAGACCCTGTCTCAAAGAGACCAAAAAAAAAAAAAACAAAAAAAAATCTTGGTATTTGCTGTTTTCTTATTTTTAAAGTCTCTCAATGCTTAGCCATATTTTAATTCAGTTTACAAAAGTCCTTTGAGTGCTTTGATGTGTAGCTGTTTTTTTAACAGTATTCAGGAACAAGTTAATTGAGTCCTCATGTTGGAAACAATCAGCTCAGTCTCAGGTCTCTAGTTTGAGGTCAGCCTGGACTACATGAGATCCTGTCTCCCAACAGCAGTGGGCTGGAGAGATGACTCATTGGGTAAAATGCCTGCTGTGCAATCATGAGGACCTGAGTTTGGATCCCTGGCCATCACATAAAAGCTGCACATTGTGGTGCATGTCTATAACCCCAGCACTGGGAAGTGGAAACAGGTGGATGCTGAGGGCTCACAAGCTAGCCAGTCTAGCCAAAATCAAGAGCTCCAAGTTCAGTGAGAAACACAGTCTCGAGAAACAAGATGGAGAGCAACAGAGACAGACCCGTGTACGAACATCAGCCACACGCACACACAGAAGTGCTCACAGTTCTATGATGTGTCAAGTACCTCGTTTTTAAATGTAATTTTATGTGTATGAATGTTTTGCCTGAATGCATGTTAGTGTACCACATGTGTGCAGTCTTCTCAGAGGTCAGAGGAGGGCGTTGGATCCCCTTGAACTGGAGTTCTAGACAGTTGTTAGCTGTCATGTGGATGCTGGGAATCGAACCTGGGCTCTCTACAAGAGTGGCCAATGCTTTTAAAAACCATTGAGTCATTTCTCCAAACCCAAGTACCTATTTTCAAAAAATGTTTTTGTGGTGGGTATATTTAGTTCCATTTATCATTTCTTGCATGCAAAGTAGGAGAAATTGCCATTTTGTAATATGTGAAGATTGAAATAAGGTACCTAACACCTAAGGGAGGTGGGTGCTGATAAAGGACTATGAGGAAGGCTGTTGGTATGTAAAGAGTAGCTAACTCATCTCTGGATGGTGATTATGGGTGATTTTTAAAAATACTTTCTGAATTTACTTACTAAAAAGGAAATATTTTGATATCAAGAGAAAGTTAAGTAAGAATATTTATTTACTCTGCCTTTGTAGCACTAGGTATAGTCCCACAAAGATGTGTCTGGTAGATACATGGAGAGAAAAAAAGTAAATACATACTTACTCTTGAAGGTCCATAGTTTCATGTTTGTGAGGAAAAAATACTCTTTTTGCCATGATGCAGTTTGGATACTGAGAAATGAACTTTTACAGTAGTACCACTAGAGTACCATTCTCAAGAATGCTTATGTGGGGGCTAGAGAGATGATTCAGCAGTTCAAAGCACTGGCTGCTCTTGCAGAGACGAGGGTTCATTTCACACACATGGTTCTTAACAACCGTCTGTAACTCCAGTTCCAGGGGAATCCAATGTCCCTTTCTGACCTCTGCAGGGCATTGCACGACACAGGTGCACTTACAGACATGTAGGCAATACCCTCATACAGGTAAAATTAAAATAATATTTTTTTAAAAAGATGATAAGGAGCCCAACCCTAAGTAATAAAAATGACTGTTGAGAAGCCACCTCATCATAAGCACATGAATGGCTCAATGAGTAACAAACAGAAAAGCCTAAGAGGCAGAGAGATAAGATCTTCCCTCCATCTTCTACCTGAGGTTATGAAAGAAGGGTTAGGTAGATAATGTGTGTTTTTCAGGCAGATAACCTTTGACCCAAGGCCAGAGTGCCTTATGCAATTTGTATGGCTTCTACCCTAGTAAGAGTCCTCCATCTGATACCACCAGTGCTGAGCTCTGAGACCTTGGTAGCCTATGGCAGTTAGTATCCCAGCTAGAACAGCTGTGGAGTTAGTGTGTCAGTGTCTTCCCAAGCCTGCTCACAAAGGGGGCTACAGAAATGGCTAAGAGTGCCTACTGCTCTTGCAGAGAACCTCACAACCATTTGTAACTCCAGCCCTAGGAGAATCTGATATTGATGCCCCCACACATAGATAAAATTTTTTTAATTGTTTATTTTTATTTTATGTGTGTTTTGTGTGCATGTATGTGTACCACACGTGCAAATACCTGCGGAGGCCAGAAAGGGCATTGGATCCTCTGGAACTGGAGTTACAGGCTGTTGTCAGCCAGCATGTGCGTCCTGGGAACCAAACTTGGGTCCTCTGGACAAACAGCAAGTGATCTTAACTGCTGAGTCATCTCTCCAACCCCCCCAAATAAATTATTTTTTAAAACAAAATCATAGAGGAAGATAAATACAGTACAACCTGATGGGGTGGCACATCTGTAACACCAGCATTCACTAGAGGAGACTGAGGCAGGAAGATGGTGAGTTTGAGTACAGCCTGTACTGTATAATGTTCCGGGATGGCTTTTGCCATATGCAAGACCTTGTCTGGAAAAAAAAAAAAAATCCCAGAAATATTTAGCTACTTTATATAGGGTTCCCATGTTACAAAAATATGGAATAATTCCTATACATTCATTTTAAGGATGATAAAATCTGGATAGTAAGGCACATTTATAGTTCTACATTTTGAAATTGGTTACTAAGTGTTTACAACACAAATGTTAAGTATATTTTGCTGTAGTAAATGAAAACAAACGTTATAGTCACTACTTGAATTGTGGGTTTTAGTACCATTTTGGTTTTTAAAGTTATTTATTCACTTGGGCTGGTGAGGTAGCTAAGCAGTAGAATGTTTGCCTATCATACACAAGCCAATGGTTTTAGTCCCCAGGACCACAGAAAAAAAGGTTCCAGGGCTGGCGAAATGGCTCAGTAGATAAAGGCACTTGCTGTACTAGTCAGTGACCTGAGTTTGACTCCCAGAACCCATGAAAGGTGGAAGGAGAGAAACAACAGCACAGAGTTGTTCTCAGACCTCCACGTATGCACTGGCACAAGGCATGCCCACCTCCACACATAACACATGCACACACAATAATAAGTTTTCACTTGTCTGCCTATATTGTAACTTTCTTAGAGTGGGTATGTATGTTTGTAATAAGGAAAATGACATAGTATTTTGATTAAACAAAAAAATTTTAGCTAAATTAGTAGAGAAATACAATGGGGCCAGACTGTTTTGATAATTTATCTGGCTTGCTGTGAAGTCTCCTATACGTTTGTTTCCATAGAAGAGCAAGAGTCTTGTGTTATAATTCAAAGACATCTAGTTAGTGCAACAGAAGAAGAGTTATTGTCCAAAGTAGGAGGAGGGTGTGCACATTTGAATCAGTGTTTTTTACCTTCTTCCTGAGCAAGAGCCCCCAGAAATTAAACTGACTTTGAAATGTAAAGTGCAAGAATTATCTACAGCTATCTTGGTCTCAGTACTTTTCTTCGATTCTGTATATTAGAGGAGGTATCTATAAGTAGCTCCCTAGAAATGTAAGAGCGTGTGTGTGTGTGTGTGTGTGTGTGCGCGCGTGTGCGTGTGCGTGTGTGTGCGCATCTTTGCCATGACGTGTAGAGTTCAGAGAACAGCCGTGGGTGTAGTCCTCACTTTGCACCTTACTTGAGATGGGGTCTCTTTCTACTGCACTCTTTCTACCCCAGCTGGCTGGTCCTCCAGCTTCCAGGGATTCTCCTGTCCTGGAATTACAGATGTGTGCTACTGTGCTCACCTTACATGGGTTCTGGGGATTCGGACTCAGGTTTTCATGCTTGCACAGCAAGTACTTTATCCACTGACTCATCTTCCAGACTCAGAATTTCATTTTGAAAAAAAAGCTGGTCCTGACTAACATGGGGTTTTGTGTAACCTGAAGCTTTGCTGTTCACACTGATACTGACATCCTATTAACATAGTCTGAGTAAATATATGTACTACATATATGTTCTGTAGTAGTGCTGCCCCCTTTTTCTTTGTCCCTAGAAGGCTATTTCAGCTGTGTCACAATCATAAAGAACAATGCAAGCTTGATACTGGGGTCTGTTGTGTTTAGATCTGTAAGGTTGTCTGTTTTTGGTCTTCATGGGAAGTTATTCAGACCTGCCTGTTTTGCAGGACTTGGAAAAGGAAAGTGACACCCCCCTCCAGCAAGTATCTATTGAAGAAATCCTAGAAGAACAAAGGGTAGAACAGCAGACCAAACTGGAAGCTGAGAAGCTGAAAGTTCAGGCCCTTAAAGACCGGGGCCTCTCCATTCCTCGAGCAGATACTCTAGATGAGTATTAAGTCTCTGCTCAGAGGCTGTTGTCACTGAGTGAAAGTGACATCCCGGTCACCTCACACAGCCGACCAGAGACTGTCAAATTGAAATGAGATCTTTATTTTCAATTTTCAATTCTCTCACATATGCCAACATGAAGAAATCATGGGATTTTGTTTTGTTTTTTAACAAAATCATTGTATATCTTGTTTTCCTTTTATTTTTGTTTTTGACACAGTCTCCCTTATAGAGCCCTGGCTGACCTAGGACTCACTTGTATACCAGGCTGGCCTCTAAGTTGGGCTATCCTTAAGCCCCTACCTCAGAAGTGCTGGGATCACTTGTGTGCCACCACACCCAGCTTCATTGTGTAAAGAAATAGTGGTATGAACTCCTCCCCACACAGCAGTGTGGAGCAGGAATCAAGCCTTTACATTGCTTTTCTTAGCCCAAATTAGAATTTACAGAGGACTTTTCTCCGTAGACTTGTAAATAAAGAATGAATCTCAGAACTGTCATATTATTTTCCAAGTTGGAGTTGCCTCTGATTTAAAAAAAAAAAAAAAAAAAAAAAACCTACTGCAAAAGGTATGAGTAGTCCACGTGCCAGGATTTTCCTGCTGTCACAGTTCCAAGTAGCTGGTTGCTCATGAAGGCATATTTCATGTCGGTGTCTTGCTGGTCCTCCCCTCTCCCCTTTTCATGTGTGTATCTCTTGTGCTTGAAAGTTTCAAGCCTGAGCAGGGAGTTTTCAGTTACATTTTCCAGGAACTGGTTACAACAGAAGCCTCATGTTTAGAAAACTACTCCTGCTTTACCCACAGCCATCCCAAACCAATTTCCCATGAGAAAGAGCATCTTTTCTTCCTCCAGTCGCTTGTTCTCTGCATCTTCCGTTAATTTAACTAGGTTTCCAAGTCCTTTACATTGAGTTTTGAGCCTCTTTTGCTCAGATCATTACAAAAAAACCCCACAAATGTTATAGTGATTACTGATTCATAATGACACCACTTGTTTACTTGACTTTTGAAGAGTAATGATTACATAGTAACAGACTACGTTTAAAACTGGCTTAGTAGACAAGGGACTGAACATAGAAAGTGGCACATTGGGATTGAAGGAGATCAGTGTCCTCTCTGGTTCTCAGTAATTTTAACTAATTATTCCAGAGGTTTGTTGGACAAAGATGCCCTTTTCTTTCATGAGGTATGTGTAAATTATTCTATGCTGCAGCATTAAATACACTTAATTCACGTCGCTCATGGTTTTAAAACTATAAACCTATAAGCTATTTGATATGTTAATTCATTATTGGATTGGTTTTGCAAGTAACCTATGAAGAAGTAGTTGTCCTTGGGTTGAGGATGTAGCTCAGTAGCAAAGGACTTGCTTAGAATGTGCAAGGCCCTGGGGGAAGGGCCTGCGGGAAGAGTCCATATGTGCCATACCTGAATACCAAAAGATACTTTGTTCAGGGTCAGCAGAATGCAATGTTTGCTTTTTTGAGCCCCACTGTTTCAGAATATGTGACACCTTCCAAGAACTGTAGGTCACTATCGTTATCTTTTCAATGTTCACCAAACAATTCTGTGTAATCAGACACAAGTTCTAAGTCGGAAAAGGGACCTTCTTGCTACTTCAATCTGGATTCTGCATTTGCAGTGTGTGGTGTCTGATTTGTATCATGCAGCAGAATTGGACCTAAAGGCGAAACTCTAGTCTGTTTGCTTCCTTCCTCTTATTCCCCAGACTTGCTCTCAGCCACTCCTCCCTGCGCACATACTGTGACCTGGTGCTTTCCCCACAGGCCACTGTGGGTGCCCTTCATTATACTGCAGGAACAATTCCACTTCTACTGGAAGTTTCTACCAAATGGGATGCCCATGAGACTGCTTTCAGAGGAGAAAAATAAGATCTGCCAAAGCCCCACTTCTGGCCATCAGTTCTTATTTCTCCCTAGGCACTTGGCCTGAAATTGCTATCCACTATTTAAACCACAATATCTCCTACCTGTCTACTCTGGTTAACTTTTTAGAAAATTATTTTTATCTGTATGAGTGCATTGCCTGGATACATATAAGTACCCCCACATTGTGCAGTGCCCACTAAGGCTAAGGGCATTGAATCCTCTGGAACTGGAGTTTTCAACATCATTAGCTGCCATGTGGATACCGGGAACCAAACCTGGGTCCTTTGTAAGAACAGCCAGCGCTCTTAACCGCTAAGCCATCTCTCTAGCCCCAACTCTTCTAATACATCTTTTTATTTAAAAAAGTTTTGAGTGCCAGCTGTGGTGACCCACACCTTTAATCCTAGCACTTGAGAGGCAGAGGCAGGTAGCCTGGTCTACATACTGAGTTCCAAGACAGCTGGGGCTACAGGAAGACCCTGTCTAAAACCGCCCCCAAAAGAAAAACAACTTGAGACAGGTGTGGTGGGTGGCACATGCCTTTAATCCCAGCACTTGGGAGGCAGAGGCAGGCCAGTCTCTGTGAGATCCAGGCCAGCTGGGACTACAGACAGACCCTGTCCCCAAAAAAACAAAATTTAAAAATTTTTATGTATACGAGTGTTTTGCCTACACATTTGTAAGTGCATCAGTGCCGCCTGGAACTGGAGTTATGGATGGTTGTTAGCCACCATGTGGTTGCTAGGAACTGAACCAAGGCCCCCTGGAAGAGCAACTAGTAGTCTTAATTGCCAAGCCATCTCCAGCCCCCTTCTGGTTTTTCTGTTTGTTTTTGTTTTGTTTTGTTTTGTTTTGAGCTAGGATCTCACTAAGAAGACCAGGCTGGCCTCAAACTCAGCAAAAATCCACTTGCCTCTGCTGGGATTAGAGGTGTGGGATTAGAGGTGCTGGGATTAGAGGTGTGCAGCACCATGCCCAACACCTGATTACCTTCTGACAGGCCTTGGATACTTGGTAGAATTAAATATCTTCATACTAACCACTGTGGAGGATTCTTAGGGAAGCCACCTGAGTAAGGAATTCCACCTGAGTAAGGAAGATTAGAGTGGGAGGCTCAGGAAGAACACAGTACAGACAGCAGAGGGGTAGATGGGCAGGTGCAGTGGGTCTGAAGAGAGTGATATGGTTAGGTGTGGTCAGAACTGTAACCCTAGTACTCAGGAGGTTGAAGCAGTGGGATTGCTGTGAGTTTGAGTCCAGCCTGGGCTGCACAGAAAAATCCTGCCTCAAAAGAATGTGGTGCTAGAGAGATGACTCATTGGTTAGGAGCACTGGCTGCTCTCGCAGAGGACCAGGGTTGGTTCCCAGCACCCACATGACAGCTGACAGCTGTCCCTAACTCCAGTTGAGGGGATCCTTCTAGCTTTCGTGGGCAGTCCATGACACAGGTGCACTTACATGCATGTAGGCAAAACACTCGTACATACTAAAATTTAAAATTTTTAAAGAATAATGTGACTACTGTGGGCAGCTTTCAACTTCTAATCCCAGATCCATGTGCCAGATTGATGGTAACACTGCACAGCTCAAAAAGTGGGCACCAGAAACGATGGAAACAAAATGCTATGGAAGCAGCAATTAAGGGAACACTTCTCATCCCCGTGCACGCACACACACACCTACAGTATCCAGCCAGCGAGATGGCTCAGTGGGTCAAGGCACCTTCAATCCTGAAGACATGCGTTCCATCTTGCAGACCCACATGGTAGGAGAGAATTGACTCCAGCAAGTTATTCTCTGAACACAAGTGTGACCTGACACGCCTTTCCCTATTCCCCACCCCAACACACACTTTAAACGTACAGTATGTGCATGTGTGACCATTTTCTTACCTTTCATGGGGTTTACTCAGCTGGGTGAGAGGGCATACACTGTAACAGCACTGGAAAGATGGAGGCAGCCTGAGCTGACAGGACAACTGTGTGGTCAAAGGACAACAGGAGTTGGTTCTCTCCAGCATGTGGATCTCAGTGATTGAAAGCAGGTCTTTGAGCTTAGTGGCAGGCATCTTTACCCACTGAGCCATCTCACCAGCCCTAATTATTTTTGAGACAGGGTTTCACTCTAGTCTGGCTGGCCTAGAATTCATTGTATAGCACAGACTGGCCTAGAATTCACAACAATCCTTCTGTCTCAGCTTCCTGAATGCTGAGATTACAAGCATGAACCATCATACCTGGCAAGAACTAATTTTTAAATTGGAATGCAATACAAAATAGAGTATATCATGTGTAATAAAAGGTTGCATGTAAAACTTACATGTATGTTGACACTGAGAATATAAAGTACATTTGTTCCTGGGGTGACACAAACACTTAAAAAACAGTCTGGTTTTTTTATATGTCCATTATAATTAGGAAAGAAAAAAATATACAGACTTTTTTTTTGGTCTTTCTGAGACAAGGTCTCCCTGTAGCCCCAGCTATCCTGGAACTCACTGTGTAGACCAGGCTGGCCTTGAACTCACCAAGATCCATCTGCCTCTGCCTCCCGAGTGCTGCGATTAAAGGCGTGTGCTATCACGCCTGGCTCATTTTCTTATTTTAAATTTCAACCCTGAAGAGTACCTTTACCCTTGTCTGGGATAGAGTTGAATTTGTCAGTTTAGAATACCCTTCCCCCAGATAACAACTCCATGGATACGCTCATGATCTTCTTATCGCTACTCAAATTTCACCTTCCTTAAATACCTTTAGAATATTATCTCTAGGACTGGATGGGTAGCTCAGCAGGGGAACACTTGCCTAGCATGCTCAAGGTCCTCAGCATTCTGAGGAGGAGCCTCAAAAATCCTACCCCCACCTATTTCCTATACAGCTTTATCTTTCACCCTAGCAACCATCACTATCTGACATAAATGTTCATTATTTCCCATGGCCCCCTCCCCACTCTGGGACTAGAGAGATGGCTCAGAGGTTAAGAGCACTTGCTGCACCCACATGGTGGTACACAACTGTCTATAACCCCAGTTCCAGAGAATCTGACGCCCTCTTCTGGCCTCAACAGGCATTGCACACACATGCACATATGTACATACATGAAAGTAAAATGCCAAAACATCAAAAATTATTTTTAAAAGTGCTATTTATGGCATAATACATGCCTATATTACAAGCTCTTGAGAGGCTGAGACTGGAGGATTAGAAATTGAGGACCATCCTCTGCTGCACAGTGAGCTTGAGGCCAGCCTGTGTTACATGAGGCCCTGTCTCAAACTTAAGTAAATAAAAGCATGGGATTTCTGTCTGATTTGCTCATGTATCCCTAATACATAGAATGATGCTTGGAATGTGTTATGTTTCAGTTATAACTGTTGAAGGCTAGATGGACAAGTGGCCAGACTTATGGACAGGAGGTGGATGAATATGCACACACAGTGAGTTCAAGCTAAGACACTTTAGGATCCAGTAGGGCAGCAAAGGGTGAGGACAGCTGGAGTCCACTGAGCAATCAGAATGGAGTGATTACGTAGCGATCCTGAAGCAAACGTGAAGGTGCCCTGCTGTTGGGGGCAGCCGTGACTGTAGGTCACTGATCTCGGGTAAGGAATTTGGAGATGATTTGTGTAAAAGTGTATGGGAAAACCACAGAGAAACAAGGGGTTAGAGGGGGCGATAAAGCCCTTGTCAGAGATGCTGAAGTAGAGTCTTAAGCCCTGTTTCACTGCCTTCCAGGAGAAGCTGGGCTGCAGGGCCCATCCTCACCTTATGTAGCACCACTCCAGAGAGCCCTTTTCTAGTGGAAGCAAGAGATACTCCCTGGGAGCTTGACTTTCCCAGTTAAGCAGATCACCAAATGGCCTGGGATCAAAGGTAAGTTTTAGGCTAGGTGTAGTTTGTGCCTGTATCTCCAAACTACCAGAAGCTGAGGCAGGAAGATCACTTGAGTCCACAAGGTCAAGACCAGCCTGGACATAGTGAACTCCCAGCTTTAAATAAGGAAACTTTATTCCCATTTGTCTCTGAAGAAGCTGGAGCACACACCTAGGTCTGACCCCATGCCCGGTTCTGCTGGGTGCTTTTCTTTCCTCCTGTGTCACGTTACTGCTCTGCCTCCTTCTTGCAGCCCCCCATTCTTGACCCCCACCACCTCCTGCTCACACTCACCCCCACCACCACACTCCCACCCCCACTCTCCTGACTCTAGCTGCCCAGCAGCGATTGCTGCCACTTCGTCCAGTCACAGAGGAGGAAGTGGCCTCGAGTGCTCTTGCCTTGGAAACAGAATTAAGTGGTTTGTCACAGTTAACCAATTTGATCCCTGGGACCCACATGGTGGAAGGAGAGAACCTACTCCAGCAATTTCCCCTCTGACCTCCACAAGACAGTGTGACATATCTGTACTCACCCACATACATACATACGTACATAATTGAGACATAACTGTACCCACTCACATATATACATACATAATTTTTAAATGTGGGGAGAAGAGATTTTGAGGGTTCGGCAGCATAACCAAGAACTTAAACTGGACTGCCTCATTTTGAAGCCTGGCTCCTTCCAGCTCCACAAACTTGGTCAAGTTGGCAGCTCCCCAATGCCTCACTTCCTCATGCGTAAAATAGGGGCAGAAATATTGACTGCTTGGGTTGTTGCAAAGGATTGAATGAGTTGGTGTGTGTGGTGAGTTTCGAATAGTGCCTGACACAGGGTGCTCAGTGCCTGCTGAGTCCCCAGGATTTGCTAGTTTGTAATGTTGTCATGGGATATACTGCACCCTCAGTGAGCTTACATTTACCTCCTTTATAAGGATACTGTGAAACAATGGTGAACAGCGGAATTAAGAAGTGGAAGTGCTGAATTAAGTGAAATGTACTATAAAAGGGATAAACCCATAACTGTCTCAAGCCCAGCGAAATCTTTCCCCCTTGGTTTGCCTTAGTGCTCAGACCTTCCAGTCTTCTAATACTAAATAAGCATGGCCTTGCATATAGGCCAGGGTTCACCCTAGCCTCCAGGCTAGTCACCCTTAAGGATGAAAGAGGAGGGCTGGAGAGATGGCTCAGTGGTTAAGAACAGTGGTTGTTCTTGCAGAAGACCCGTGTTTGAATCCCAGCACCCACAGGCAGCTAACATCTGTCCGTAACTCTAGTTCCAGGGGATCTGGCAGCCTTTTCTGTCCTCTGCGGGCATTGCACAACACAGATGCACTTACCTACATGCAAGCAATACATGCACACACATAAAAATAATTTAAAAAAAAATGAGGAATTGGCAAGATGGTTCAGCAGTTAAGGGCACTTGCTGCTCTTCCAGAGGACCAAAGTTTGATTTCCAGCTCCATTGGGATCCACAACCTCTAGCCTCCAAGGGCATCCACTATTACATGCACATGCTTAAAAATAATCTTATTTTTTTTTTGAGCCGGGCGTGGTGGTGCATGCCTGTAGTTCTAACACTTGGGAGGCAGAGGCAGATAGATCTCTGTGAGTTCAAGGCCAGCCTGGTCTACATAGTGAGTTCCAGGACAGCTGAGGCTACAGGGAGACCCTGTCTCAAAAAAAAAAAAAAAAAAAAGTTTTGTTTTTTTTTAAAAGATGGGCCAGGTGTGGTGGTGCACACCTTTGATCCCAGAATTCAGGAAGCAGAGGCAGGCAGATCTCTGAGTTCGAGGCCAGCCTGGTATACATAGTGAGTTCCAGACCAACTATAGCTACATAGTGAGACCCTGTCTCAAAAAGCCCCCCCCCAAAAAAATACTAGAAAAAATTTTTTTAAAGAGAGGAAAACCAGGATCTGCTGAGAATCTACAAAGTGTCAGCCTCTATGCTTTTCTAGTATTAACATACATTCAGAGTCTCTTACTTCTAGAGCACTGTGCTAAGAATTGGGATTTGAAAACCAATAAAGTCCTAGAGTTCATGTAAAGTTGCATTTTTACACTGTGCTATGATCTCCCAACTCCTCATACCATCCTGAAGCCTTCCAGAGCACTCTTCCTTTCCCTCCATCCTCTGCATGTTTATTTTCACATGTAGCTTCTGTGTTTATTATGTAAAACAAGGGGAACTTGACAATAGTCATTATCACAAACATGCATCAAGGGGATGGGGAAGAAGGCCGAAGGCCAGGCATAGTACACATTCTTGTAATCCTAGCACTGGGGCAGGAGGATTGCAAGTTCTGAGGCTAGCCTAGGAAGGGAAAGAGGGAAGGAAGGTGATAGACAAAGAGGGGAAGAGAAACAGGCAGACTGATGACTGACAACTGACTGACTGTGGTAGACTTCATGCACACTTGCTGAGGAGGAAATCCAGGGTGAGAATTTGTGGAATGCAGAGACTAAGAAACCGAGAAACTTATCTTGGGGGATATTGATGTTGCCTCCTTGAGACCTTAGAATCATATTGAGAGGATTAAGAAAATATCCCTCTTTTATATTTAAAAAAAAAAGGAGTGGCTGTCAATCATGAAGTGCTGGAAACCTGTGCTATCCCCACATGGCCAGGTTAGTACCCCACAGGAGGGTGCTCTTCCACCTGAGCCTCAGCCTCTGGGAGAGACTTTATCCCACCTTTCCCACTCTGACCTCTGCTTCTCTCCCAGTACACCCTACAAGTACCCCACCACCCTCACAGCCACACTGAACAAGTGCCCCCAGAGCCTTTTTCCATGCTATGTATGGTGTTGGCTTTTTGCTCTACTCAAACACCTTCATTCCTCCCTTTGATCATTTCCAACCTCCATCAGAAACCCAGCTAACACCTCTCCCTCCTCCCCCCTCCCCCCCTCCTCCACCACAGTGGATCTAGTGGTGTAGGTGTATAAGCCATATACTCAGGAGACTGAGCAGGATGGCAAGCTGAAGACCTAAGCTAGAGTGAGTTCAAGGCCCACTTTGGTACCTTAGTAAGACCCTGTCTCAGAATGAAAAAGCTGGGGAATGGGAAAAGGCTCCATGGTAGAGCACTTGCCTCGACTGTGTAAAGCTCTCATAGCAGCCCTCTCCCTTGCCCCTGGGTGCTCTATGTTCTGCAATTCAAACTAAACCCTTTTGCCTGTCCATTAGGGTCCCCATGGTCACATCATGGAATCATAATTGTAGAGTTACACAGTGGAGATATTCACTGTTGGATAGTTGAGTGAATGAGTGGACTCTTCCACCTTTTCTGCTCCAAAGCCTTCCCCCCTCCCCGTGCCCCTGCCCTGGCCTGCCATATCCATCTGGTGTCCTTCCCTGTAGGCTGTGCCCTAATCAAAAAGCAAAACCAGATTTGAACAACGTCCAGAATCCAAGAATTTCCCAGACGTCTCTTTACTGTCCTGCTCAAAGGGACAGCAAGAGTTAAATAGTTCTTCAGCAGCCTGGAAAGAATGAGAGGACGCAAGCCTTGGCACTGGGGGAGGTCATCCAACACTCCCTCCCTGCATCCGTGGCAGCCTCTGACATCAGCGACAGCTGTATTGCCTCAGTGCTCCTGTCTGCCCACACAACGCCCTCCTTCTTCTGAATGCCACAGTTCTCCACAGGATGGCAATAGCAGGGCCTTGAACATTATCTGGAATGGCCTGTCCCACACAACCCCATCCCGATCCCCACCACCTTCCCTGAGGGAAGGCACACGTGTTCCTGAGGCTGCACGTGCTCTGAGCAATGGGTAGGGAGAGCTGGAGGTGCCAGCAAACCTGTGCCTTTCCTTTGAGACAGGCCTGAGCACGGGCTGCAGATAAACAAGAAGCTCTCGTCTTCCCTGGGAGTCACCGAGGGTTGGAAGCAGTACCTACAAGCCACATTCCTGAGCCAGAGGTGTGCAATAACCCTTGCTCCTTCCTCAAGTGTGGTTCAACAGCGTAAGAGACCACTTTGGAAGGTCGCTGAGTGCAAGAGCCAGCAGCAGGGTTAGTGCCCTGAGGAGTCAGTGCTCCTCTGTCTGTTGGGAAGTAATTCCACAGAAAAAGCTAGGCTAGGCGTAGTGGTGCACGCCTGTCATTCCAGCACAGAGATGGAAGCAGAAGGATCAGGAATTTAAAGCCAGTCGCAGCTACATAGCAAGTTTGAGGCCAGCCCAGAATAAATAGACCCTGTCTTAAAACAGTCCCATAGAAGAGACAAGAGAGCACATACAAATCAAGTGCTGGGTTACACTTCTCCAGGGGTACTGACTGAGAGGGTTCGCATCAGGGATAAATTATTGGGAGGCTGGGTGATCAAAAAGGAAAAGTGAAGTGGCCACAGTGGGCCTTGAGACCAGACCAGGTATCTCTAGGCAGTTGTTCTCAGGACCTCTCACACAGCTTTTGCAGGGCTGAAATGTGGGACTAGCTTGTATTGTTCCAGACATATCCTGTCTCCAAACAGATCCTGCCCTTTCATCCAGTTACCTGGAGGGAGATAAGGAGAGCAGTAATAGGATACCCAACCTAGATACTGGGGACAGGGCAAATCTAGAGAATCTACTGGAAATATTTTTGCCAGGTGAATTTGGCTTAAAGCAGCCTCAACGTGTTTTTTTCAACTCTTAAAGCTTATTTTATTTTATTTTATATTTTTTTGGTCTTTTTGAGACAGGATCTCCCTGTAGCCCCAGCTGTCCTGTAACTCAATATGTAGACCATGCTGACCTTGAACTCACAGAGATCCACCTGCCTGAGTGCTGGCATTAAAGGCATGCGCCATCACGCCCGGCTTATTTTTTGTGTCAGTGTGTGTGTTTGCATGTGAGTGCAGCTTAAGGACAGAGGCATCGATTCCCCCAGGAGCTATAGTCACAGGTGGTTGTGAGTTACCTGATGTAGTTGGCTGGGAACTGAACTCAGATCCTCTGGAAGAGCGCAACAAGTGCTCTTGAGCCGTCTTCCCAGCCCCCTTTAAGAGTTCTTGACAGAGCAGTGCCAGGGCCTGGGGCTTTTTTCCCTGCCTGAGTGTATCTGGGACCAACCAACTGGGCGATTCACAGGCCTCATGCGTCTCTGCTCAGCATTACAGGGCTTCCAGGCTGTAGAGAATGAGGTAATACCCCAATAATCTCTTTCTAGGTTTTCTGCTGGCCCAGCCTCTGCTGCATGAGGAAAGGGTAAGGAAGGATGTGGGTATGGCCTAGGCCCAGGTTATGCTTTGGAAGCTTATGGGAGAGTCATTCTAGACCCAGCAGAGATCCCCTAAAAGGAGAACTCATAATGGGGCTTTGGCAACGGTGGTGTGTATCAAAGGGTGAACAAATAAATGAACAGTTGAACTTACAAGGTGCCTAGGGGACCACAGGTGAAACCATGGACAGCCAGCCAAGTGACAGGATATTGCCTAGCCCTGCCACTAGCTGCTATTCAACCTCAAGCCAGTCATTTTACCCTCTAGACTTCTTTCATCTGTAAGATAGGCCTGATGGCCCCAGCAGTTTTAACTACTCATCTCTTTGGCTCTCTTACCCTGGTTCACTCTCTTGGCCAGTGTTTTTTTTTTTTGTAATATTTTATTTTTAAAAGTTTTACATGTATTCGTGTATTGCCTGCATGTAGGTAAGTGCACCCATGTCGTGCAATGCTCACGGAGGTCAGAAGAGGCTGTCAGATCCCCTGGGACAGGAGTTACAGTTGTTAGCTGCCATATGGGTGCTGGGATTCGAACCCAGGTCTTCTGCAAGAACAACCAGTGTTCTTAACCGCTGAGCCATCTCTCCAGCCCTGGCCAGTGTTTCTTGAAGTACAATGGTAGCCCACTGCAATCACTAAGCATCTTAGCAAATGCAAGTTTCTGAGCCTTAATTCTAGACCTGCTGACTCTGGACCTTGAGGACAGGGCTTAATGTCTACATTTAAAACTTTTGAGAAGCTGTGTGCCCTCTGCTAAACTGCTGCATCTCAGTGTCTACTGCTTTCCCCTCACCTGCTGAATCTGGCCCTCTCCACTCCCTTTTACGCACTCCACCCCCTCCCCCGATGGCCAGCGCAGCAGTGTGAGGTAATCACTCCATCCTTGACCCTCTGCACAGTGACTGATGGTTTTTTTTTATCTCCCAGTGATGATGCACAGCCTTCTGCTGCAGGCATTTAAGGCACCAAGCACGATTCAGGTCACAGCTGCAGGACCCAGAGGTGGACCTTGAGAAGCTCGGGAAGAGCCAACAGGCCATCCTTGAGAGCAGAGGTAAGAGCAGCAGCAGCACATCTGCAGGGAAGCATGCTCCTCGCCACATTTAAGCTGTGTGCTGGGAGCTCCTACAGACACATGCGCAACATGAAAGGTGAGTCTGGGCCGTGGAAGTGCTTCCGGGAACCTTCAGACAGTGTGGTTTTGTGGGAGATCCTTGAGGGGGGCAGGCCAGTTGTGCCTTTTACTGGGTGAGCCTGGGTAAGTCTTTTTCCCTCTGGACTTCAGTTTTCCACAGAAAAATTGGGCTGGGTGCTAAGATGCCTATGTCCCACCCAGATTCTGTAATTTCTAGTCTCCACTCGAAGGCTGCAGCCGTACTGGAGCTTGTCTTGACTTTGCCTTCCTTTTGGATTGGACAAGACCTGGGACAAGGGTCCCAGGCAAGTCTTGCCCACGGGGGTAGGAGAAGCAAGCTTCGACTCCAAGAAGCAGTGCTGCAAGCCTAAGACACTGCCCTTACTTAGGGAAGAAGGCACAGGAAGATGGGGAGCAGGACAGCAGAAGACAGAGAATATGGGTGGGGAGTCTGGTTAGTGTGTAGCCAAGAAGCAGAATGTGGCGGTGGGGAAACCTTAGGAAGCAGACAGGGCTTTGCCTACTCAAAATTCAGTGGCTCAGTGAGTGGCACTCTCATGTGAAGGACCCCAGCTGCTCGCACATACACATTCCTCAGGGGTTTCTTGTACTCTGCTAGACTGGTATTTTTCTAGTTAACAAATCCAGTAGGCGCTGCCAAAACTCTACATCCAGGTAGAGTCAGGTCTAACCTGATCACCCCCATTTCCAAGACAGAAGGCAGATTTCTAGGCCCTGGAAGTGCTAGGGGAAGTTGACCAAGCACTGAACTAGGAGTTAGAGACCTGGCCCTAGTTCAGGTCTCAGCTCGGAATCTTTGTGTTCCTGAGCTAGTCCTTTGCCTTTCCAAGCCAGTTTGCTCATCTGTGATGAGCCCCTCTCTAAGAGGCTTTCCAGCTCCTTGGCAAAACTTTCCTTCCTTTCCTGCAGGGCTGAGGCACCAAGCTGTGCTGGCCATTGGCCAGGAACTGAACCGGAGAGCACTGGGAGACACCAGTCCTGGATGGATCAGCCAGGTTCGGCGTAGGAGCTCTCTGCTTGGTAAATTCTGGGGCTTCTGAATTTCTGCCAATGGGGGGTTCTCGGGTGCACCATTGCTCATGAGCCCATATCCCCTGCCTGTGGTTACCTAAGTCTCATGTCTGTCTAACCTGACTCACAGGTAGTAGTACCCTATGGCTTTGATATGGGCTCTTATGAGGGCTGAGCATATCCAGAGAGCAAAGGGAGGTAGGCCAGGTCACTGGAAGGATGTGCTTTCTCTTTTACAGGTTCTCAGGTGGAAGAGACACTCTACAGCGACCAGGAGCTGTCCTATATCCAGCAAGGAGAGGTGGCGATGCAGAAGGCGTTGGGCATCCTCAGCAGCCAGGAGGGCTGGAAGAAGGAGAACCAGCAGGTAAGGGTGGTTGTGGAGAAACCTGCAGCTACCGACCGTCCCCCGACATGCTCAAGGCTAGCTGCTGTGTTTGCTCTGGCAGCCAGATGCCTTGAAAACCATGCTAAGAACATATTTTCAGATAACCCTCTTGCTCCCTAAGACTTGGGAACTATTCCTGATTTTTAAAAATATTTTATGTGTATGCATGTAGGTAAGTGCACCCATGTCATGCAATGCCCACAGAGGACAGAAGAGGCTGCCGGATCCCCCGGAACTGGAGTTACAGACAGTTGTTAGCTGCCATGTGGGTGCTGGGATTCAAACCTGGGTCTTCTGCAAGAACAGTGTTCTTAACTGCTGAGCCATCTCTCCAGCCCAAGAAACACTATTCCTGATTTTTAGTTACCCTCCAAATGCACTGTAAACCCACCAAGCAGAAACCATGCAATGTGGAACCCACATGTATTAGAGGCCGTATCACCCAGTGTGGCCATCCCCACAGTGCCAGAGTACATTCTGTACTGTTCAGCCCACCTGCAGATGAGCCTACAGTTAGTGTGGGGTCACCTTGCTACAGAGCTGGAGCAGAGTACAAAGGCAGCCCAGTACTATCTGGGGCCCTGCTTTGAATGTTGTACCCTCACTGGAACCTAGTAACAAGACTTTAATGTTAAAGTGAGTGCCTCTATTATTAGATCCACTTTGGTGACCTTCAGCAAAAGCTTACCCGCCATCCATTACCCAAAGTTCAAATAAAACATCTTGCTGCTCAACTTCTCACAGTAACAGAGATAATAGACTAATAATTAAGGTGCTAAGAGACCTGGGATCCAGGCTCAACACTGCTCTTTGCTAAGGGTCCCTGGGCAAATCATTGACTCTCTCTGGCCCTAGGTGCTGGGATTAAAGGCGTGTGTCACCACACCCGGCCTTGGACTTCCTTCTGTTGGTCCCTTTCTTAGTATTGTCTAGACCTAGGACAGGAATAATTTTCTCTAACTTCAACCATGTTTCTCCCTGACAGGGGAATGGGGATGAAGTACTAAGTAAGGTAGTCCCAGATGTGGGCAAGGTATTCCGCTTGGAGGTGGTGGTAGACCAGCCCATGGACAGACTCTATGAAGAACTTGTGGAACGCATGGAGGCAGTGGGGGAGTGGAACCCAAATGTCAAGGAGATCAAGGTGAGGAAAGCCCAGGTGTGGCCTGCAGGGACCCAGAGAATGCAGTCCGGTAGGCAGGCCAAAGGCATCCCGCGCATCCTCTTTTCTCCTTGTATTAGGTCCTACAGAAGATTGGAAAAGACACAGTCATCACCCATGAGCTGGCTGCAGGAGCAGCAGGAAACCTGGTGGGGCCCCGGGACTTCGTGAGTGTGCGTTGTACCAAGCGCCGAGGTTCCACCTGTGTGTTGGCAGGCATGGCCACACATTTTGGGGAGATGCCAGAGCAAAAAGGTGTCATCAGGTAATGCTGGCAGCGGTCTCAAAACCCCAGGACCGTGGGCCTGTGCCCCACTGTGTGATACTCTGAATCCCTACCTCCAAGAAACCAATCCTTGGTCCCACCCACAGCCTGTTTTTACAAGATTCTGATTTCCCAAAGTAGGGGTGGCATACCAGAGTGGCCCACTTCAGCAGCAACAAAGATCAGGTTTATTCTGGCCTTTCCTGGTACTTTAAGAATTAATTATTTTCCAAAGCAAGGAGCAGGCCTGAGGTCCAGGTTCTCCAGTACAGCAGTGCTGGTGATTACAATAGTGAAGTAACCCTAACCCCTCACAACACCTGGGTTTCCTAAGGGCTTCAACCACTATTCAGCCTTTCCTTGACCTCCTTGTGGTTTAACAACTGGGGTATAACAAGAGGCCTCTGGCTATAACCAGATGAGCTGGTAGCTATGCCAACTGTTAAATGGTACTCTTGGTAAAGGGTACTTCCTGAAGAAACAAGAGACGAGGTTTTCTAGAAATGTGGAATATAACTAGTTACATTGAGAACTCTCATTTGTCTTCCTGACTTGATTCTCTTCATTTGCCAGAGCTGAACATGGTCCCACTTGCATGGTGCTTCATCCGCTGGCTGGAAATCCCTCAAAGACTAAACTCACGTGGCTGCTCAGTATTGACCTCAAGGTGAGGTGCAGGCGGGAAATAGCCCTGGGTGGGTGGTAGTGAGAAAAATAGGTCCTTGTCCCTCCCATAAAAGAGAAGGAATCCTTTCATTTTTTTTCTTGATTTTTAAAGCTTTATTATTTTTGTATGAGTATGTGAGTACATCACATGTATGTGTGAATGTAGGTGCTCACATGCCACAGTGCACATGTAGAGGTCAGAGAAAAACTGTGGTGTTGGCTCTCTCCTTCCACCTTTACATGGGTCTTGGGGATTGAACTCAGGCTGTCAGGCTTGTGATGCACTTTTATACCAAGCCGTGTCGCCAGCCTTCGTTTTGCATTTTGATAGATTCATAGGCTGTCCTATCATCTTGGAATCCTGCAGTGGCTCTCTTACCTCACAGATCAAATTTCTGGTCTAAAAAGCTAGGTATGGTGGTACAGATCTGTAATTCCAGTTTTTAGAGGCAGAGGTGGGAAGATTACAAGTTTGAAGCCATCCTATGCTTCATAGCAAGTTTCAACTCAGCCTGAGTTACACAGTGAGACCATTAAACAAATTCAGCTTACTTACACACTTACACACACACACACACACAAATTATCACCATTTAGAAGGTAATCTTAGAATCCTCACCCCTTAACTCCCAAGACAGGGTCTCCCTGAAGCCCAGCTGGCCTGAATTCCCTGTGTATACTAGACTGCCCTGGATCTCACAGAGATCTATCTGCCTCTGCCTCCCCAAGTGCTGGGATCAAAGGCATGCACCACTATGCCTGGCAGGAATCCTATCTTGATAGCAAATCCTTGTGGTTTTGACTCTGTCTTACAATAGAACAGAAGTTTGCACCTATAAACAAAGTAGGAAGCCAAGCCTGAGGCAGCCTTGCCTCTGTCCATGCAGAGCAGAACACCACCACATGATAGTCAAATGCTCTACCTTCTTCTCCAGGGGTGGCTGCCAAAGACCATCATCAACCAGGTCTTATCACAGACCCAGATGGATTTTGCCAACTACCTGCGCAAGCGACTAGAGTCCAGCCCTGCCTTGGAAGCCCAGTGTTAGGCCAACCTGCTATTCCTGACTATACCTGCTACACGGGCTTGCATGCTGTCAGCAAATTCCTGCAGGAGGCCTGCAAGTCTGTTTAAGATCTTCATCTACTGACAATGGGAGGGTTGTAGTTTGATTCTAGGACTGACTGGTAAAAAATTTAATGCCAAGAAAATAGAGATAAGGCCCTCAGAGGAAGAGATTCTAATTTCTCTCACTGATTTTTTTTTTGGTCTTTTTGAGACAGGTCTCTCTGTAGCCCCAGCTGTCCTGGAACTCACTATGTAGACCAGGCTGGCCTTGAACTCACAGAGATTCACCTGCTTCTGCCTCCCGAGTGCTGGGATTAAAGGCCCAAACCACCACACCCATCTCCCTCACTGATTGAGCTGTGGAATGAAAACTAAGATTTGTTAAACTTTTTTGGGCCCTTACACTTACATAGCAACCTAAGAACCCTATTAAAAATGCTAGTGGCACACCTGACATGGTGGCACACTTTTAATCCCAGCGCTCAGGAGGCAGAGGCAGGTGGACTTCGGAGTTGTAGGCCAGTTTGGGCTACACAGTGAGACCGTCTTTTTTTTTTTTTTTTTTTTTTTTTTAAAAAAAGGCTAGTGGCTGACATGACAAGCCTTGAGGACCCAGAACTGTTGCCTAAAGGCAATGTGTACAAAGCAGGGTCTTACCTAGAATGTGACCTTCTGTCCCTCTGCAGAAGGCCCAGGGCTACACCGAGAACAAGCAACTCGTCTTCCCTGAGTGTATATTCCAAGTTTTCTCTAAGAAGAAATATAAAACTAGTTATTACACTGGCTTTCTTATTGATTCCATCAGCACCAGTCAGAATAAAGAATCATCAGACAAAAACTTCAGTCTCTGCTTGTCTCAAAGTCCTACTCTTTAAAGATATCAGTAGATTACAACTTTGTAGTGGAGGAGTTCTGGAACAAGTCTGTGAGTTGAACCAAATCTCTTAGCTCATTAAAGGAATGAAACTACTGGAGGTTTACATCATTCAGTTGTTTAGAATCTGTTTCCAAAATCTTGCCAAAAATTCATTTTCACAGTAAGTACAACCCTAAAATTAGTTCTTAAAGAACTAGTCAAGCATGGTGGCTTGACAGCGGCATTCTCAACTTGCAGAGTCTGAGGTAGGTGAATTGCTGTAAGTTCCAGGGCAGCCTGGATTACAGTGAGACCTTGTCTCAGAATAAACCAACCCCCCCGCCCCCCCAAAACCCCACAACTTTTCATAAGTGGCATTTAATAGCCCCCCAAATCTGGGTATAATGGGATTTTCATTTGCCTAATTAAAAGGATAATGCCAAATAAGAGAGCTTGACCAGTATTGCTAAAGTGAATATTATTTATGGAATCAGGAGTCAACATTATACGGGTATCAACCTGTCTACCAACTTTGTTTGAAAAGGTTAAAATATTGTCACTTGGAAAGAGGAAGTCACTAGATTCTAAATTCTGCTTTCCAGGATTCAGAGAAGTTATTCTTTAAAGATATAAACTGGGGGACCAGCAAGTTGGCTCAGTGGTTAAAAGCACTTGCCACCAAGCCGGAGGACCAGAGTTCGAACCCTGGAACCCACATAAAGATGGAAGGAGAAAACTGACTACAAAATTACCCACAAACTTACACACATGTGCCATGGCACCAGTGCCCACACTCAGAATACACAAACAATAAAGTCTTTAATAGGATTCCTTTGCTGAGTGTGTTAAGGATGGAAAAAAAAATTACTATTTGAAGCTTTTCCACTCTATTTTTTATATAAATTTACATGTGGGCATGCGTGTGCCACAGCATGTATGTAAAGGTCAGAGGACAGCTCGCAGACATTGGTTCTCTCCCTCCACCCTGTAGGTCCTGGGGCTCAAACTCAGGCTGTCAGGCTTGGCAGCAAGGACTTTTACCAGTTGAGCTATGCTGCTGGTCCATTATTTTGTCCTTTCTAGTGGTGACACTGGTATTTATTGAAGTAGTAAAATCTAACAACTGATATTATGTTATTCTGATTGTGTCTCAGTCTACTCTTGACACAGATGAGTGTTGCTCATCCAGGAACTGCAGGGTGAGGGAGGACAGTTAGAGAAGTGTTTCTATGATAGTCATTGCTCAGGATCAGCTGAGAAAACAGTCATTTGCTCAGATACCATAAAGCAACAAGCATGCTGGTTTTGAGTACAGCGAACACTGCTATTTTAAACTGGACTCTAGTTTCCTCCTTCCAACCATGTAGTTGTTTCGTGTTGAAGATTTTATGCATTTGTTTCATTTTACATTTGAATAAAGGTTGTCAATGGTGACCTGGTTATAGGAACCTACAGATGGATATTATTTTAATCTTCTTTTGAGTGAACCTCATTAATTCATGCACGTCTAAGCCTGCACTTTTTCAGCTGGTTTTTAGTTTTGTTCTTTTAAGACAGCCTCACTGGATGTGGTACCACACCACCTTTAATCCCAGCACTTGGGAGGCAGAGGCAGACTGTGGATCCCTGAGTTGTAAAGGACAGCATGATCTACATGGGGAGTTCTAGGCCATCCAGGGCTAGCGTGAGACCATGTCCAAAAAATACACCTTTAATCCTAACATTTGGGAGGCAGAGGCAGAGGCAGGCGGATCTCTGGGAATTGAAGCCAGCTGGGGCTACATCGTGGAGACCCTGTTTCAAAAAGACCCCCCCAAAAAGGACATCTCACTCTGTAGCCCAAGCTGGCTGAGAGCTCATGTCAACCCTCCTGCCACAGCCTCCTGAGTGCTGGGATTAAGTGTGACCCATCACAACCAGCCCTCTTTTTCTTTTGAACACAAAGTAAATTAATGTTTTGGGGACTCTCAACATTATGAATGCCGAATATACAAACATCTAGCTTTGTAATTTAGGCGGGACTGTAGGTATACAACTTGTATGTGCTTACTTAATACTCCCAAGAATTTACCTCAAGCTTCTAAATAACATCCTCTTTTGGGAGTCCTTCAAACTCTTAACTCACTTTATAACCAGGCCTCTTTTTTTTTTTATTTTTTTGAGACAGGGTCCCCCTGTAGCTCCAGCTGCCTGGAACTTGCTCTGTAGACCAGGCTGGTCTGGAACTCAGGATCCACCTACCTCTGTCTCCCAAGTGCTGGGATTAAAGAGGTGCACCACCACACCAGGCCAGGCCTCTTTTTTTTTTTTTGAGACACTGTTTCACTATGTGGTTCTGGCTAGCTTCACTCACTCACAGGCCTGGAACTCATGATATCCACGTGCCTCTGCCTGCTAAGTGCTGAGATCACAGGCTGCACCATGCCTGCAGTCATACTGTTAGGTTTCCTGCTAAGATAAGGAAAAAAGGAATCTGGGTGGTTCAGTAGGAGACACCTGTATTTTCAGTATTGCCATGTGTGTCAAATAATGTTCACTTGAGCCTAGGGAAAACTCTTGAATAGTGAAACAAAAATAAGATAATCAAGAGCATGGCTTATGCCGACTGTGACAACAGCACCCAGCTCAGGTAGAACATGCACACAGCAGACTTTGGGTAATCCTAGGGGTTTGCATTCGCCACAAGACTGATGCATTAAAAAAGAGATGGGATGTTGGGAGTGGGGCTGGAGCGATGGCTTTAGGGATAAGAACACTGACTGCTCTTGCAGAGGACCAGATTTCAATTCCCAGCACCCACATGGCCACTGACCTCTGAGGGCACTGCACAACATGGGTGTGCTTACACACATGCAGGCAATGCACTCACACACATTAAAAAAAAAGATTTAAAAAAAAAAGAGCAAGGGAAGACATTAAAGGATCTCAAAGGAAGGTTCAGTCTCACTTTCCTGATTCTGAAAGTCACCACAATCACCAGAGGACAGGCAGGAGAACGACCTGCACACATCACCACCACGTTTAGAAGGAAGAGCCAGAGGGAGGCCATTGCCCCTTTGATTCCAATTTTTGTTTTTTGGTCTTTTTGAGACAGGGTCTTCCTGTAGCCCCAGCTGACCTGGAACTCACTATGTAGATCAGGCTGGCCTCAAACTCACAGAGTTGATTCCAATTTTTATAGGATAAAGGAGGTGCTTGATCTGCCCAGGGAAAATGGGGAACAGGACGGGTTGAGACATGTCAGAAACCTGCCTTCCTCGTTCACTAACGACTCCCCTTCTTATACTGCCCACACTTCGGACACTGTCACTAAGAGGAGTCCAACCTGAAGAAGAGCCAAGCACCACCCAAACTGGAAAAGAAGTTTTATGGTAGAAGAGTTCTAATTCTGTTACAGCTGCAGACACGTTTCCTTCACAATTACAATTCTTAGAGACTTACTAGCTTCAGAGATTCCCCAAGCTCCACCTCAAAAGCAAACAGCTTTATTAGACGGGTTTGGAATGCACTACCACTGCTATCAGCTGCTCTCAGAAACAGGTTCACCACCTCCAAGAAATCAGGTGTGATGGAGTCAATGGCCACAGAAGCAGACGTCTTTAAATAAGCTATCTGCTTGGACAAGACTTTCATCTCTTTAAAAAATACAGTAAGGTAACAATTCCCAGATGGCAGGCATGTGGTACAGCACCAGTTTCACAGGGAGTTTGTGGGATCTTGAAGGTGAGCAGCTGTCTTATGGCACACAAGGTAAGAGCGGTTGCTGGACATGGGGAAGGAATACGGAAAGGCAGGGAACCTGTCCGGTTCTACCAGGACTCTTAACTTGATGAACCTAGAGGCTGTCTACTGCAGCATCTTTGGGAGAACATTTGATAGTTAAAAAACAGAAACCAAGACCCCAATATTATTCCACAGAAAGTCCAAGTCTGAAGCCCGGGGACTGGTCAAGGCTCCCAGGGGGGACTGCGTCTCCCATCCACTTCTGTCTCCACATGATATAAAACATCAGCCAGCGTGTGTTCCACCACAGCACCCCAGCCCATGTCACTCATCTGCAGGAGGAATGAAAACAGGAAAATGGGTGATTGTAAGAGCTACAGTGAGTAACAGAGCTATCAAGGATGCATACAGTAATTTTAATGTTACTCACAGGGTGGTAGGTGAGATCCTTCGGAGGGTATTTGAAGGACGGTCCAAAGTTGATGGAAACCTGGGTAAGTTCAATTCAAGCAAATACAGAAAATTTGGAAAAAGAAAACACACAGAATTTTACTTGATAGGCAACATTTCCACTTTAAAGGAAGCTACAGGAACTGGGAATGTGGCACACACCTATGTATAATCCCAGCACTCCAGAGGCAGGAGGATCCTGAGTTTGAGGCCAGCCTACACTATATAGCAAAGTCCTGAATTAAAACAGAAACAATGTAGATATTATAATTAGGGTATAAATAAAACAAACAAGATATATATTAACATTGCTAAAAGTGGTCAACACCACCAGGTGTGCAATCCCAGCACTCAGGAAGCAAAGGCAGGCAGATCTCTGTGAGATCGAGTCCAGCCTGGTCTACAGAGTTCTAGCCAGCTGGGGTCACAGGGAGACTTTGTCTAAAAAAAACAAAAACAACCCCAAAACAAGTGATCAACATCCTAATGTCAATCAGCAATTAGAAATCAGAAACAGTCTTCTACTTGATTTCTGTTTAGAAATCTAAAGATTGCTTACCTTTGTTCAATGGTAGATAATGACAGACTAATACATGGATATCTCCATGTCTTAATTTTTTCCTTTTTTTTAAAAAAAAAAATATATAATTTTTTACTTTATGTATATGAGTGTATTTGCCTGCATGTATGTGAGTATACCCAAGTTGTGCATTGCCTCCGAGGTCAGAAAAGGGCTTTGGATTCCCCTGGAACTGGAGTTAAGGATGATGCGTAGCTGCCATGTGGGTGCTGGGATTTGAACCCATGTCCTCTGCAAGAGCAGTCAGTGCTCTGAAGCACTGAGCCATCTCTCCATCCCCAATTTTTCCTTTTTAGACAGGCCCCAATGATAGTCCCTTCATGATGGATCATAATTTTTAAAAAGCAAACAATAGTTTCTGGGGCTGAAGAGATGGCTCAGCGGTTCAGAGCACTGGCTGCTCTTGCAGAGGACCTGGGTTTGGTTCCCAGCACACACATGACAGCTGACAATAGCTCCTAACTCCAGTTCTAAGGGATCCTATGCCCTCCACAGGCACTGAAGGCACTTACATACATGCAGACAAAACATTCGTATATATAATAAAAATTTTTTAAAAAGAAGTTATTGATGGCAGGTCATCAAACATGACACTAAGATGATTTATGCCTATACATACTTTGTGTCTTTCACATTAAACAATGACACTATGTAGTACACTCAAAGGGATGTACTGTGCATACTGACTATGTACTTTTTGCCCAAGCAAACACTACTACAACGTCCACATGCTTTGGGGCCAGCAGTAATAGTAGCAGTACATTTCCATGCCACCCATAGGCTATTCAGATTTCTTTCTAGAACTCAATGACTCATCACAACCCATTTACATACTTCAAGTTATATGCACAGGTATATAACACAGGGTACATACCGTACAGCTCTTGTACAATGAGATGGCCGGAAAGTAAACTCCCTCAAAAATATCTTTGTAAGCCACACCTTGACTGACACCATTTTTATAGAATATTATCTGAAACGAAGATCAAGGTTTTACTTCAAAATTTGGAAAAAAAAAAAAAAAAATCCAAAAACTTCAGTTGGAGAACACTTAGTGCTACTAAGCGAGGTAAGGTGGCACACACCTTTACCCCAGCTCTCAGGAGGCAAAAGCATGTGGCTTTCTGTGAGTTCGAGGCCAGCCTACTTCTACATAGCAAGTTCCAGGACAGCCAGGGCCAGAGTGACACCCCGGCCTCAAAAAGGAAGTGTTACTATCAGAATGATAATGTCTCATTCTGAGAACATTTCTTGTATAATAATTTAAGATAAATTTATATATTTTCCATTTTTCAAGTAAAATTAATGTAAACATGTATCATTTCAGTTGGCTTCAGGTTTCTTATTTCTGAATTCCCATGTAACATATACTAAAGAGTTCTATACTGATTACACTTTATTTGGAAGAGGGATTGAGAAAGGGTCTTCTGTAGTCTAGGCTGGCCTCCAACTCACTATGTAGCTACGGATAATCCTGAACCCTGATCTTCCTGCTTCCACCTCATTAAGCACTGGGATTAGCTACCCAGCTTTCAATATACTGTGTTTATACGAAGTATCAGGAAAAGACTCTTCTTTCCAGCAAGAACTTTTTTTCTTGCCTATATCATCTTTAGACTTTTGACTATTTCATACATATATATATTTTTCTCCCTCCCCAAAACATTTAGAACTCTAGTTTATCTGCCACACTTCTATTCCTGACCCACACGGCTTTTCAGAACTTTATTCCTCCCTACTTTTCTTTCTCCTTGGATTTCTGGTCCTTGAGGTTGACTCAGATGTGCTGTGACCTTGGCTGTAGTCATGCTTCCTGGGAAGAGGGGACCAGGGGGAGTTCTAGCCCCTGGTATCTCCAGGTTGCATAGCAGAGTCTCCTCTGTACTTGACATTTCCTCCAATAAAACGAATAAAGCTCTCTAACTTGCTTCTTAAACTGCTCAGTTCCTTACCAGGTCACTCTCTACACCCTTTTCTCTACGGTGTCTCAAGAAGAACACCATCTTGCCTCTCATAGTTGAAAATGACACAGAGAACCCACTCAATCAGCAGACAGGACTTCGAGCTTGCTCTGCGGTTGGGAGAAGTGTTATCCAGAAATCCATTCTGTCTCCTTGGGCTTCATTTGCCTCACTTTCATCATTACGGAGTTTCAATCTCCAAAGCCATATTAGGCTGACATTTTTATGAATGACTCACCTCACTGTGGGGAGTCTGTTTTAGGCTCTTCTCTGCTTTATCCACAAAGTCTTTTTCCTCAAAATACAAATAACTCTTGAACTTTATCAAAGCCTTGAAAATCCAGTAAGAGAAAGAAAGATACAGTGAAGCGTTAGCTACATCATCATGGAGAACAGAGTCAGACATACACAACACACAGTCCTTATATTCTCCACAGAAGCCACAAGTCTTTGTTACCAAGTTTTGTCAGAGTTTGAACTACTAAATGCTTCTTAAAAAAAAAAAACAAAAAACAGTAACTGAGGCCAGGCGTGGTGGCGCATGCCTTTAATCGCAGCACTTGGGAGGCAGAGGCAGGTGGATCTCTGTGAGTTCAAGGCCAGCCTGGTCTACATAAGTGAATTCCAGGCCAGCTGGGACTACAGGGAGACCCTGTCTCAAAAAGATCCCCCCCCCTCAAAAAAAAACTAATTCCTTAGCACATACATAATTAAAGATGGTATAGAATATTCATAAGCTATAAAAGCACATATAATGAACAATCTCTCAAGTCCCTTAGCCACAGCGCCTCCAAAATTAAAACACTCGCAAAAAAATAGACATTAGATAATCTCACAAAGAAACAAGTCATGCCAGACATGGTGGCCCACACCTTTAATCTCAGCACTGAGGAGACAGATACAGGTAGATCTCTGTGAGTTCAAGGCCACCCTGTTCTACATAGTGAGTTCTAGGCCAGCTGGGGCTACAGGGAGACCCTGTCTCAAAACAAAACAGAACAACAAAAAACTCCAAGCCATTCACTCAATATATATCAGGGATCACATTTTTAAAATATTTAAATTACATTTTACTATTATTTGTGTGTGAGGAGCAAACGTGCACATGTGCATGCCAAGGGGACAATTTATAGGAGTTGGCTCTCTCCTTTCACAATGTGGGTCCCCAGGAATTAAACTCAGCTCATCAGGCTTGGCAGTAAGTGCCTTTCCCTGATAAGCTATCTCAGAGGGTGAGGATCATTTCACATGAGGCTTCTGAACAGCTCCATGTTATTCTGTTACATGGATATAGTACTATTAAATTATTTACTTTAAAAAAATGTTCAGGGAGCTGAAGAGACAGCTTAGCAGTTAAGAGCACTGCTACAGAGGACCCGAGTTCAGTTCCTAGTACCCACATGGCAGCCAACAACCATCCCTAACTCCAGTTCCAGGGGTTCCAACACCCTCTTCTGGCCTCTGTGGGCAGTGCACACATGTGGTGCACTTACATGCAGACAAAACACTCATACACATAAAATAAAAACAAATAATTTAAAAAGCCAAAACCAAACTCCCAAATATTTATAATATAAATGAAAAAGCAAAAAAAAGTAAAAATTTCCTACACAGGCCAACTAGGTCCTAGAAAGTGAGTCCCTGTCTCAAAAAACCACCAAACAAAATCCTGTGAGGACTTCAGAGTTCCAGAAAAATCAGGCATATGAGAAATGCATTTGATGGCAGAATGTGAAGTAAAAATTAGCAGTGTGATGCAATTAATAAAGTGAGAGATTATGGACATTCCTATGAGGAACAAAAAAAGCTCAACTTCTACACTATAAGCAAAAAATTAATTCAAAGTGACCTCATATAAGGGCTAAAAAGTATATTTTCTAAACATGGGAGGATATGCCTTTGAGGGTACTCAAAGATTGTACAACAAAAAAGAAAAATCTGAAAAATCAGACTTTACATGCTCCTATCTACACATAAGTTAAAATTCACAAAAATAGGGCCAGGCATGGTGGCGCATGCCTTTAATCCCAGCACTTGGGAAGCAGAGGCAGGGGATCTTTGTGAGTTCGAGGCCAGCCTGGTCTACATAGTGAGTTCTGGGACAGCTGGGGCTACAGGGAGACCCTGTCTCAGAAAGACCAAAAAAAAACAAAACAACAAAAATAAATCCTCAAAAAAAAAAAAAGGTATTTTAAAAAACAAATAGAATTAGGCATGTGGTAGGGTGCTTCCCTAGTATGTAGAAGGCACTAGATTTGATCACAAATACTGAGCTTTTTTTAAAGATTTTTTTTTAGACCAAGCTGGCTTCATAGAGATCCACTTGCCTCTGCTTCCCAAGGGCTGGGATTAAAGAGGTGAAACCACCATACTTAGCCTTGGAACATTTTTTTAGATACTGCATCTGATAGAAGACTTGGGTTTCATTCGAAATAAAATTTATATCAAAAGAAAAAAATAAGTTGAACAACAGTTATGATAGGCATCCTGATGTACCTGTTAAAGGGATTACAATGATGTTTGTCAATTTCCAAGTGGTACATAAAAAAAGATGGAAGAATAGATGCATAACATGTTAATGGTAGAATTTAGGTGACTATTCCAATACTGACCCTTAAATTCTTCCAGGTTGTTTTTGGTCTTTTTGAGGCAGGGTCTCCCTGTACCCCAGCTGACCTGGAACTATGTAGACCAGACTGGCCTTGAACTCACAGAGATCCACCTGCCTCTGCCTCCCAAGTGCTGGAGCTAAAGGTGTGCATCACCATGCCTGGCTAAATTCTTCCAATTTTTTTTGTCTGAAAATCTTCATTACAAAATACAGGGAAAACATATACTGTGGGTCACCATTACAAGAACACAGGCCATAGCTACAGGCACTGGCTGCAGAGCTCTTCAAAGCCAGGAAGCCCTGGGAGGAGGACAATCTCACCTTATCTTTGTAAGTATCAGGCAGTGACTTGGCTGTCTCTGTGTCTTCAGGAAGATTGATATAAAATCCTAGGACGTCCCCCTGCCCATAGCCAGATGAGTAGTGCTTGCCAATAGACTGGTGGAACTTAGTTCCCTTTTTGCTCCGCCAAGAATAGCTAAATTTATCATAACCTAAGGGAGCCTGAAGGTTACCTGTCCCAATAAAAAAGACACATGAAGGTCAGAGGACGACAAGTCAACTACGGCTTGTTAAAGGAAAAAGGTACTTCTTTTCATTTCACATTTTTTGCCAATTTTGTAAACGGCTTACAAACTTTCTCACGGTATCTAGGAATACCAAACTGGCTAATTGTTCAGGAACTTAATTTTATGACCATTATCTAGTAAATCAAGTAATCTCAAACACCAGACCAGATGGGTCTAAATCTCTCTATGTGCTGTGATTCCACATCTACCCCAGCTTACCTAAGGGCTGGGACCAGCCCAGCCTGGCAGCAGTATCTGGTGGCATCTCATCCACAGTGATTTCAAAGTACCAGGCACCTTTCCGTACCCCGTGAGATGCCCGTACCATGGAGTAGCCCTTCTCTCCGACCACAGTCAGCCGATCATCAGAGATCTTTAACTGAGGAGCTAGAGGGATGGAGATTCAAACAGAGGCCAGTGGTTATTTGAGGCACTTGGAGACATGAGTCCCTTATATGACAGCAAGATGAGAGAGAGAGAGAGAGAGAGAGAGAGAGAGAGAGAGAGAGAATGCATTAACAGATTAAGCATTTAGAATATTAGTTCAGCATAGTCTAAGTCTCTCAATGTTACCATCTATAACCACAAAACAATCATCAAAACCAGAAAATTGATACTTAAGAGGCTAAAGTGGGATCCCTGTAGCCCATGCTAGCAAAACAATGAGCTGTCATATAAAAAAATAAACAGAAAATTAACAATGACATAATGCTGTTAGAGGTAGGCAGGTAGATATTAGTAGGCTTGGAGGACAAGATGGATCCTCATAAAGTCAAGGACTCTAATTACTAGTTAGAAGAATGGCCCTAGGAGGAGATGTCATAGATAACTTATCTAACCTTGGTTCCAGAAGTCCTAAACCCTGTAACATTTCTATCTTAAGAGATTTTCTGAAAGAGAACAAGACATCCCATAGTCCCCTCTTGTAAGGGTCAATCCAAACAGGCCTGTCAAATCAGTTGGACAGGTAAAGATCCCTCAGGAAAAGCTGCCCGTTCTAGAGACTTTAGAAATTATATAAAGCCTGCTTGAAGTACAGATAAAAGCAATGGTTCCTTTGGATACTGTCCACATTTACCCTTTGAATGTGTACACCCCTTCACAATAATCTCTACCCATTTTCTACACTATGCGTATGCCTCATCTAAATTCTTTCCATGGAGATCATAAGGACCATGGAGCAAAGGAAGTCCAGACTGAGATCTTGGTGACAGTACTATGATCTACAGACCATCTTCAAATTAAGCCAATTACCAAATAACACTTTTTTTTTCTCCCCGGACTAGAATCTAACTCACATTGTAAAATGTTGGAGTGGAAATGTTAATAGAACAGTAAATAGTGAGCTTACCCACTCACAGAAACATAGAGACAAAGGGGAACTTTACAGTGGATAAACCTAGAAGGGAGCACCTTAGTCATGCTACCAAAGTAGTGGGATGGATCAATGCCTCCCAGAGCACACTAGGAGCACAGCCCCCTTGTATGATAATGCTGAGGCATTACTTCAGTCACAGGAAGGAAGCCCAAAGTGAAGGGTGGTCTATAAAATAACTAGCTTTTGAAAAGCTCATCCAAGTCATGAAAGTGCAGGGAAACTGCAGGTTTGAGAAAAAAAGCCTGGTGTGGTGGCGCACACCCTTAATCCCAGCACTCAGTAGGCAGAGGCAGATGGATCTCTGTGAGTTCAAGGCCAGCCTGGTCTACACAGGCCAGCTGAGTTCCAGGCCAGCCCAGACCTATATAGTCAGACCCTGTCTCAAAAAACAAAACTCCTATGAAACATAAGGATACTAAAATTGGGTCCTTGCTTACACTGGACATCAGGGGATGACATGGATCTGATAATGGCAGCTGTGAGATGTGAATTTCTTGACTTTATTGATTATGTACTGGTTCTGTAAAAACATAAAGTAAAAAAAAACATACACACAAATTATTCGATACTTTTCTTTCATGAGGCAGAGCTTAATTCTGCTCTACTTGTACAGGGTGGGCTTAGTGACTCAGCCTCCAGAACGCTGGATTGTGTAGATGTGCGCACTACTATGCCCAGTTTTAGTGACATACTTTAAAAAAAAAAAAAAAATCTTATTTTTATGTGTATGAGTGTTTTGCTTGCCATGTATGTAAGTGCATCACATTGGTGCCTGGTACTCTTGGAGGCCAGAAGAGTGTTGGATCCCCTGGAACTGGAGTTAAGGACAGATGTCAGCTGCCACATAGGAGTTGGGAACCAAACCCAAATCTAGATGAGCAAACAAGCAATCTCTCCAGGCCCCTCCTTTTTAAAGAGAGTAAGCACTGAGCCATCTCTCCAGCCCGAGCATTAGTTTTTAACTGGTATGCAACTCCAAGGAGCAAACTGCAAAAAGACTATAGCACGCTCCTCATTGTGTATAAAAAAGAGAATACATACATATTTGTGAAGAAGTACAGAGCCAGACGTGATAAATCACTGTTATCTTAGCGTTTGGGAGGGGAAGCTGAAGTAGGAGTACTGCTGTTACTGCGAGTTCAAGGCTAGCCAAGGTTATGTGAACCCTGCCTCAAAAGAAAGACTGGGAATAAGAGAGTGATTCTAAGTATCAGTTTTTAATCTAAATCTCATTGCAAAATCATAGTAATAGGGCTGGAAAGATGGCTCAGTGGGTAAAGGCACCTGCTACACAAGCCTGACCTGAGTTTGATCCCTGGAATCTATATAAAGGTGAAGGAGAAATCGGACTCCACAAAGCTGTCTAATGACTTCTACATGTGAGCCATGGCATACACACCTATGCAACGTGCAACACACCAGTCATAGTAATGCTGTATATATTTTCCTAAACACGCACGCACACATGCATGCACCCAAGATGTAGGAGAACCCAAAATGGAGGAACATACCAGCAAATCAACCTGTCTGAACAAAACACTGAGGGAAGTGGGAGGGGGAGAGCTAACCTATGCTAACAGTGTCATGACTGGATACTTCAAGGTTAAAGTCAAAAAGAGCTGCCAACAAATGCTATACTCACTAATAATTTCTCACAGGTTTGTTGAGCCTCAAATTTCTCTCTCTCTCTCTCTCTCTCTCTCCCCCCCCCACCCCCACCTCCCCTGTGTGTGTGTTGCTGGGGAATAAACACAGGACCTCAGGTTCTCTAGTTAAGGGCTATACTACTACTGAGCTATAACCTTAGTCCTCTGGGGGAAAAAAAAAAACCTAAAACAAAACCAAAACACTTTCTTACTTTTTGGCATCACAAGCGGTTCCTGGCTAATTATACTATACTTTGTCAAATTATCCCGCATGGGTATTAGAAGTAGGCAAGGAAATATACTATAGATAATTATCCACAATTATCTATCCAATTAATCATTTTGTTATTAAGTCTCCCACTGTTAAAATAAGTTACAAATAAGTAAAAGGGAAGGCCATAATAAACCATACAATAGTGTTTGGCTGGACTAACTCACTATGGCCACAGGTTTATGTGCATGTTAGTATGTGATGTCCACCTCTGCCCCATGAGGGCCCCTGGAAACACTGACAGTCACCCACTGACAGCAAGCATACCTGGTTTGGTCTGAATGTGCTCTGAATTTGCCCCCAGAGGTTCATGTGCTGGAAGCTAGAGCCCTACGTAGTGGTACAGAGATGGTATAACCTTTCAAATTGGACCCGATGGGAAATAATTAGGTCAAGCAGGCACTACCCTCAAAAAAAGATTAATGTAGCTCTTGTGGGACTGGACTAGTTCCCAGGAACAGGTTATTATAAAGGAAGTTTGCCATGTTGACTGATTCTCCTCTATGCTTCCGTCTCACTCTCCCTGGCACATGCTCCCACCTGCCATTCTGTAATGTAGTCAGAGGCCCTCAATAGAGCTTAGCACATGCTAACACTATGTGTACTCTTTGAACTCCCCAACTTTGAGTGTAGTCTATATCTTCTGTATAAAGAACCCAGTTTAGGTATTCTGTCACCAACACCTTCTATCTAAACAGCATTTTAGGACCAAAGGAACTGGAACCAGAGATCTGTGATAGAATACAGTTTACTAAGCTGGGGGCATGGAAAATAAGATACAAAGTACTTAAAAAAGAGGCTCAGGGGCTGGAGAGATGGCTCAGTGGTTAAGCACACTGACTGTTCTTGCAGAAGATCTGGGCTCAAATCCCAGCACCCACATGGCAGCTAACAACTGTCCTAACTCCAGTTCCAGGGGATCCGACAGCATCTTCCATCCTCCGCGGGCATTACATGACACCGGTGCACTTACCTACATGCAGGCATAAAAAAAAAAGAGGCTCAGGGGAGCTGAAGAGATGGCACAGCAGCAGTTAAGAGCACTGACTGCTCTTGAGAAGACCTAGGTTCAGTTCTTAGCACCTACATGCAGCTTACAACTATCCATTCCAGGGGATCTGGCACCTTCTGGCTTCTGTGGGTACCAGCCATGCACACACGTACACACAGCCATGCAGACAAAAGACTCATACACATACTGACAATTACACAGATACGTATACATACGCACACAAACGGAGGCTTAGGGCTAGGTGTGGTCGCACATGCCTTTAATCTCAGCACTCACAAGGTAGAGGCAGAAGCAGAGGGTTTTCTGTGAGTTTGAGGCCAGTCAGGGCTATATAGTGAGACCACGTCTCAGAAAGGGGTGGTGGCGGGGGGGGACTAGGCAGATTGTTGTACTGGTCTTGCAGAGGACTGGAGTTCAGTTGGGAAACCCACAACTGCCCTGTAACTCCAGCTTCAGGGGATCAGATACCCTTTTCTGGCCTTCAAGGGCACTGCACTCACATGTAGAAACACACACACACACACACACACACACACACACACACATACACACACGGGGTTTTGAGACAAGGTGTATAAGTAAAGGTAGCCTTGAACTGTATCCTTCTATCTTCCAACTTCTCCCAAGAGCTGGGATTACAGATACTCATCATCACATTTGTGCTACTTTTTTTTTTGGTCTTTTTGAGGCAGGGTCTCCCAGTAGCTCCAGCTGTCCTGGAACTCACTATGTAGATCAGGCTTGCCTTGAACTCAGAGTTCTGCCAGCCTCCTGAGCGCTGGGATTAAAGGCGTGCGCCACCATGCCTGGCCCCCAGTGCATTCTTAAAACCTCCTGACTACATTTCAGGGAGATTCTATTCCTTTTCTGTGTTCAATTCAAAAGGTTGTTTTGATTCATACATGCGATTTAATGTATGAAATTATTAAATGAATAAAAGGTGTTTTTCAAAGTGGATCATTATGCCCTACATAATGAAGTCGCTCTGTGTTCACACTGATGGAATCAAATAATGTAGAAGGGAAATAAACAGATCAGCATAAGGCAACATTACAAAGTCAAAAGATCAATCAACATCCC